ATCCCACAGCTGAGGAGAATGGGTGGTTTCGTTTTGAGTATTCTTCACCGAACATTCTTCCTGCAGGGGACAGCGAGGTTGCGTTCCACGGCACACACCTGGAATGTTTGCATGGGATACTGGCCACAGGCAGGCTACTACCTTCGACACCTGACCTCTCCGGCACGCGAAGCTTCGAGGCACGACCAGGTGTGTATCTCCACAAGATGTCAAACAGGCATCTTGCTGCCGGTTACAGTTGTCTGGTGAGGATAGGACCTCGGCACATATTCGTGCGGCCCATGTTTGAGGTGGAGGCTGCGCACTCTGGATCGCAAAAACGTGGTAAGAAAACAAACCAACTGATATACTCCTATGATGCAGTCAAAATCCGAGCGCTGCTACTGCAAATATCAACCAAGGAGACACTCACCTTAGGTGAGTACCTCCGAGAGTGGAGTGGCTTGTTGGAGATACCACTGAGACAAGCACGGGAATCCTTTTTGGCGTTGGGATACGAACTGCCTGGCGAAGCCTCGTCAAGTGGAGTCAAGGAAGGAGGAGTTGCTCCCCTTCCGGTTTGTGAGCAGGCGTCCAGCTCACAGGGTGGAGTTTCTCCCCCGACCATGGCGTCAGAGATTGACCACAGCTCAACAACGCCACGTAGCTCCACTATAGTGGCCTGGGAGGGCCAACCAGGCGATCTAGGGGACTATTGCACTGCCTCTACGAAGCCGGAGAGCAGCTTCTCGTTCGAAGTCTCGAAGGCTCTAGCAGCTTCGCTCCGTCACGGACATAAACCCTACATCAGCGTCACTTCAGCTGGCTGGGCCAAATTAGAGGACGTCCTAAGATGGCCAAGAGTGCAGGCCCAGCACGCCACGGCAGGCGACCTCATGGAGGTCGTTCGGAGTAACGCAAAAGGCAGGTACGAGCTGGGCGATTGCCAAGGCCAGAAGTACATCAGGGCTCTGCAAGGACATTCTCGCTCTGATGTGGACTCCAATGAGGTGTTGGAGGAACTCACGGAGGAGATGCTCCCCAGAATGCTGTATCATGGCACATTCTGGTCCTTGTATGACTCCATACGCCAACGAGGCCTTCTGCCTCAGAACAAGATTTCCAAGGGCCGCGGCAAAGGCGGACGTGGCAGAGAGGGACGACAGCATGTTCACTTCGTCTCGGATCGGGACTATGGGAGACCTGGTGTTTCTGGATTCAGAGATAGCTCGTCGATGCTGGTAGCGGTCGATCCACGCAGAGCCATGCAGGTAGGGGTGCAATTTTTCCGTAGCAAGAACGGCGTCATTCTCACCCCTTCCGAAGTGCCCCCTTCTGTCATAGAGTACTACCAGAGCCTGAAATCAGGTACTAAGTACGGAGGCGACAACAGGCCGCTCTGATCGTGAGGACCCTCACCTAATGGTGGAGTCCCTCCCCACACTGATAATGCAGCTGCTCACGCAAAAATCTATGTTATGAGGCTGAAGGTCACTTCAATTTCATCACCAGACAGCAAGTATACCCCGAGGTCGCATGTGAAGCTCCGTGCGAAGTCGTGGGCCCGGATCTGCAAGTGAGTTGTCAGCCAAAAGTTTTCTGGAAGCTCTACTTGCCTTCTCGTACAGGCTCAACTCACCAGCTGTCTCGACTGTAGAAGCCATGCCTGAAACACCGAAGAAGAGTGGCAACAGAGCGACCTCCCGAACCCCTCCTCCAGTGCGACGTCGGCCCCACCTATCCAGGTCGCCGCCAGCCAGTGACGCCATTCGGGAGTCCGACTCCGAAGACACAGCAGCCCCTAAAGCAGCCCCTAAAGCAGCTGGGCCTAAGGGCCCGCCGCCTCCGATGCCTGTTAACCTGTCAGGAAGTGGATCTAGCACAGATCGGACACCGGGCCCAGGTAAGGCACCTGGAGTGCCAGTGAAAGGTGGAGTCCCGGGAGGAGTTTCTCCCCTGGGACCACCGCCAAAGGCTGTGACCTCAACGATCTCCCATCCAGGGACAGGAGAGCTTCATGTCACCAGCACAAGTCCGGCAGGAGTTGCTCCGCCATCTACAAATAGCAACAACGGGCTGGAAATGGCGCCTGGCCTGCCTTTACTGAGTGTTTCATTGCCTCACCGCCTCTACTATAACATAGAGCTAGTGGTTCGTACCGAGCCTTCACAGCGAGGCTAGACACTCTCGCGAGACAGCAGTGTGCAAAATGGACGTCGCCAATCAGTCAGCGATACATTGCAAATCAGCCGGTTAACTACTTCATTAGTGCCAGAGTCTGCAGCTCGAGTCACTGAAGACACGTCCGATTCCGACTTCATTGCTTGCAGCCTTGAGGGGCGGAGCGTGTGCGAGTGCTGTGTTAAGGCACGGCTCGTCATGAAGTGACCGCGCAAGTAGCAAGCAGAGCAGCAGGTCGATCCCTCGCAAAGCGTGGACGTTAAGTTTCACCTCAGACAGTATCCTCCCGCTGCGTGTGAATGAAATCTTGTTGTTGTTGGTGTTGGTTGTTGTTGTGGTTGTTGTTGTGTGTTGTTGTTGTTGTGTTGTTGTTGTTGTTTGTTGTTGTTTTGTTGTTGTTGTTGTTGTTGTTGTTGTTGTTTGTTGTTGTTGTTGTTGTTGTTGTTGTTGTTGTTGTTGTTGTTGTTGTTGTTGTTGTTGTTGTTGTTGTTGTTGTTGTTGTTGTTGTTGTTGTTGTTGTTGTTGTTGTTGTTGTTGTTGTTGTTGTTGTTGTTGTTGTTGTTGTTGTTTGTTAGTTGGAACCTGTGGTTTGAGCCAATATGCTCCTGTGGACGTGTTCCAACTTTCGGCTTCCATCCTACGTATTTGCTTCTTTGGACCCTTCCGTCTATATGGGCTGGCTGCTTCACAAACCTGCAGGAAAGTTTCGAACGTGGTACTGTTGGCTACTAGAGATCGTAAATGGAAGTCATCAAGGCTACGCGTTCTTGCAGGTTTGAGGGTTTAGGGGTACAGGACCAGGAGAGACCAGGGGACCAGGGAACCAGGGACCAGGGGACCAGAGGACCAAAGGACCAGGGGACCAGGGACCATGGGACCAGACCTAGCAAGGCCCACCAGACCGGATCAGACCTAGGAAAAAAAAAACCGGGGACCCATGGGGAAGGCGGATAGCAGAACGTTCTGGGGCCGACTGAACCCAGCTGAAAGAGAGTTTACCACATGAAACACCGACTTAAACTCGGGGTGGATTGAGCCGGTCATGCACTCGCCGGTGTCCTCGCCGCAACTGAGCTCAGCTTCCTTTTGGCTGATGCTCCCTCCACACAAGAGCACACAATGATTTTGCTCAGACATGCACAAACCAGAAGTGACTGCAGCGCTAGGCCCTGCCTACAGCTCTACGTTCCCGCTACGAACTTCGAACAACGAGTGACAGTTTCGACCTCAGAGAACAGCTTGCAAACCCAGTGCAGCCCTATAAACCCACGATGTCCGCAATGAGCAGTCTACTCTTGGTTCGCACTCCACGGAACAATACTTCAGAGTTTCTTTCTTTGTAGGGCAAGAAAACTGACTGTCAGAGGGAAGTGGTCCTCAGCCCTGATCTACACCCCATGGTTGCATGTCCATCTATGCATTTCTCTATGCGTTTTGTCCACACATTTTCACAGAAGCCCCCTGGCCTCCACCAAGTGCGACGACTTGCTTCGCGCCGCTGGCCTGGAGAGGGTCCGTGCTCTGCAGATGTTTCAACCCTATAACCGAGCAAAAGGTGGAGGCTTGAGCTGCCCTGGCCATGGCCTCGATGGCCAGGCGGCCGAGCATCACAAATTTTTGCCGCCCCGGTGGTATATCCCTTTGCGAGGGCCACGGGTGTTCTTGCATGCTTGAACGAGTTCAACATAGCTGGAAGGTAAGAGCCAGGCTTCATGGCTGCCTCATATCGCCTAAGGCGACTCATGAGGTCCGCGAGGTCAACGGGCACAACAGCTATGCGGCCGGGGTGTGCGGCTGCAACCTTCGGCACAGCTGAAAAATCTGGGGCAGCACATCGCCGGCGCGCACACAGTAGTCAGATAAGACTCAGCTTGGATTTTAGATCTCCTACTGTCGTTCGTTTGCTCTTTCATGCGCTGGACACGTAGATCAGGGAGGTAGCCTGAACCTTAGGATCTTAAGGGTGACCTTTGAGCAGCAAAGGTTGAAGGGGTGGCCTTTCTGAACGTTGCTTCCTTCTCGCTCTTCCCCTTCGGACGTCGGATGCTTCACCCACGCTGGGTCGGTCGGCATGAGGCCGAGCTCGGCGGCATCTTTGTCACCAAGCTGATTGCTGGCTCCGGTCTTCTATAACACAGCCAAAGGAGCAAGCGACCACCCCTACCCCCGGCACTCGCGTGCCGTGGTTTCCCGGTCCGTCCGAAGTAGAGTATGAGGTCAGGACTGCGCGGGCATGTTCCTATCAGTCCCTCTTCTTTCTGCTGGGCTTAGGGGTCGTCGTGCGACCCTCAGGCCATCGGCCCGCCCAAGCACCCGCTGTGTTATGGAGTGGCAGGGTTTGGGGCTTCGGTAGAACGGCACCGAGTACTGCGCAAGCGTTGAGTTTTTGAGTTGAGCCACCAGCCCCGAACACTAAACACAACACACCACCGGCCTCGTCCCCGCGCCCCTATGGCGATAAGCAGACTGTACGGCAGAGCCCCCCTCATGCAAGCGGGACACATACCCACAACATTCAAGTAGTGAGCTCCCCCCAGAAGCGGTCCCCTCTGCTGTTCTGGTTGCCGGCTTGGAGTCTTGCTTGCTCGCTTGCTGTGGGCTCCTTGGCCTGACGGTTTACCCCACAGTTTGCATCCGCCGAAGTCTGCGCGGCCCCTTCTGGGGTTGGAGCCCTTCTCCTGTGCATGTTTGCTTTGCTCTGCTTTGCTCGAGGCTTGAACCACAGGCAAGGAACCTGTGGCCCGCTCCGAAGAGCGACCTCCTCCCTGATTCTCCGGAGAGGCGACCATGGCGGCCGGTGGGGCCGTTTGTTTTGGAGCACATATTCCAGCACACTTTCCTCAGGTTCCCCTGGCGTTGGCAGGGCATGGGAGACCACCCCTCGAGTGTCTGACTTCTGTCGCGAGATCACGGCTCAGCCCAAACTGGAGGACCAAGTCCTGTGCATCCGTTAAGCTCCTCCTCCTGTTGCTTGCTAACTCTTTGGTTCTTGCCTGCAGCTTTGGCATGACTTCTTGATGGTTGTGCTGGTGGCTTACAAACCTCTCCACATCTGACAGGGTGTCTGTCAGAAGCTCCCCGGACAAATGCACGAAGTGCCCTGCTTGAATCGAGTCTCTCCTCGCTCAACTTCGCGTGGCTCCAGAGGGTGTCTGAATTCGGAAACCCTTCGACAAACAAAGAGAAGTCCAAGCGCCACTGCCTCCTTCCAGCTTGCCTTGAAGCTGTCGATAGAATCGTTTATCCTGCGGGCTCACAGAAAGATGCTTAAAACTTGCTTTCTTTCTCTCTCTTGCAATTTCAAGCCATGACAGCACCGCCGGCCTGAAAGCAACAACTCGTCGGCTTTCTCCAGACTTCAGGTATTCCGGAATCAATCTGGTAAAGCTTGTTTCTTTGAGCTCATCACCATCCCAGACCTCGGATATGCAGTCTTTCAAGTGGATAAAGTCTCTGCAGCAGCCCCAAGCATGTATCAGATCGAATTAATTGACATGCGCCACGGTGCCAAAAGAGAAGACCGGCTTGCTTCCGTAACCGCCTCCTGCGCGGACATCGTCGAGCTGCAAGTCATGCCGCAAGGTGATGCGCAAAAGACTCTGCGTCGGGCCACTGGTCGGATGTGCATTTCTTCAGAAAGCCTTTCGCACATGCACGCGCGCTGGCAGCCAACTCGGTGACTCGAGAGTTTCAGATGAGTGCGGAGATCTAGATGCCAGCAAGCCTGGTTGATTGAGTGAGTGATTGGGTGAAGTGACAGGGGAACGGCAAGCAGCTTGCACGCGATGTTCTGCAGATGTGTTCTTGTTGGCAAGCCAGCCTCAGTCGGATCGCCGTTGCCACAGTGGGGTAGAAGCTTGAAGGTGTCGCTGGAAGCTAGAGCAACGCTCAGCACACATGTTCCGAAAGACAATGCTCTTCTGCACCAGGTGCTGCAGCCTTCACGCTGCACGATGCTCAAAAAACAGTTTTTGCCTCACACGTTTTGCAGTCTCTCATGTGCTATGCAACATCCCCTAAGCACAGCCGCACGAACAATCCTGAACCGGATGTTTGTCAGCCGACGCCGAAAAGAGGCATTAAGTACATGTCCAATCTGATCTTTGAATACACACGGAAGCAAGCTTGCTCCCAGAATCCACATTGAGTGCATTCCTTCTATCGCTCGCTGTCTCTCTTATCCTCCTATTAACTCGTCCCCCAGCCGGCACGCACGGAGAGGCTCCAGCCATCAAAGAGTTCGCTCCACTCCGCTGGACTAAAATGCACCCTTCCACACCCAACAGTATCAGCAGCTCGAGAAGTCGGAAGAGCCCAGCAGGACTGAGCAGGAGAGGGGGGGTCCTTGTCAAAGAAGCTGGGCACGTTCCCACCGAAACCCTTCAGGTGTAGGATCTCGCTGGGCCGGATCTGTGCTTGCTCGAGCCAGGTGTGGAAGTGCTCCAATCGTACCTGCTCTCTACAGCGTATCCGACGCAGGCCGAGGACTGAAGAGGCTTTACGAGTAGCTGGTGCCTCCTCGATGCAAGCATCTGCATCTGCATCGGTCATTGGCACATTCTGATGGCAAAGTCTCAACAGCTGGGCAGCTTCACTGGTGCGTCTGCTTGCTTCATAGCGGCTTGCTTCCAGTTCAGTAGATGCTATTCCGATCCTTTCCGTTGCGAAGGCTAACGTGCTAGAAGTCTTCAAGAACCTCCTGTCCTGCTGAGCCGATGTCCAACGCCGTCTACAATTTGATGACAAATCCCCCAGGGCTCTTGTAAACCGCAGCTTTCGCTGCCACTGATGAGTTCCGGGTCTTTTTCTCCGAGCCTTTTCGGGGACACGAAGCCGCGCTGGCTAAGCTCCTGCTGTGAAGGAAATGCAGGGAAACATGGCTCGAAACTTTGGCCAAATGGACAGAGCGACTAGCTCTGGCAGCAAGATCATGCCGCACCCAACCAGATAACTGCATCTGCAGATGGTGGGCGCAGATGCTCCTGCATCGGCCTTCTACCCCCCGAGAAACTGCACACCTCAGGACCTAAACAGTGGTCCATGAGCAAGTTGGAATGCAACGACTGCGCAGATCGACGAGGGGTGACTTTGGAACATCTTGAGGCCAAGTGAAGGTTCACACGTCGAGATCATGCGCACTGGTAAGGTGAAATAATTGCATCAAGGGCAGCGCGCCCTCGTGTTGGTCTGAGTCTATGCCTCGGCCCTGAAGTGTTCTCGGGCTAAAGCTTCAGCGCTGAAAGCAATCCGGGCACACGAAGTGATGCTACATGCCGCGCAAGGCTCTCAAACTCATGAGCTGCATACTCCTCAGGCCACCCACAATCAGAAGCAAAACTCAGAAACGCAGGCTGAATCGCGCTGGATGACGATACAGTGGTCCGGAGCCAGCCAAGTATCGCGTTCCTCGCTCACGACGAGTCCGCTAGTCAACCCACGATGCCCGAAGATCACGAAGCCTTGGTGGGATTTTTGCCACGAGGAGGACGGCTTGCAGGACGCTGTCCTCAAACTCTGAGCAGTCAATGGTGCAGCCAAGCTTCCATGCCCTGCCAGCAGCTGCAGAAGAACGACTGCTTCAGCTATGTCTGCCTCTGTCGGTCCTGACATCGATCTCTGCACAGGACCCTGGCAGCCTCTCTGCACTCTCTCTACACAATGCCTGGAGAAAACTCGAAGGAGATTGCACGCAGCGGCCTGGCATAGCGGGGCCACACAAGGACTGCAATCAGTCTGGCGGGTTGCGATCTGCTTGAAGCAAGTTGCCCAGCCAGTAGTTTCGGTGCACTTCGCAGAGCTTTCAGCTCAGCTCCTTCGATGTCCATCTTCCTGAGCATGAAACTTGCTATGTTACTGCAAAATCTTTTCCCGTGATTTTCATACGGACGTCACATTGACTGCATTGGAGTCGTCGGCATGGCTTCACGCTGTGACGCCAAAGCCAAGAGCCCGTGTTGTGTCGAAAAGACCGTCCCGTCCAATCGTACCAGGCTTCTGTGTACCATCCTCTCCACTGCGCTTAGTTTCATGATGGCTTCAAGGCCACGCGTAACTGGTACTGGGCCGAGGGGTTCTTGCCGCGCGGCGGCGCCCTAAGTCTCAAATCGCGGCCCTGGCAACGGCTGGGCATGCTTTGCATCTCACGAAACCTTGGACTCCAAGCCCTAAACCCATAACAACTGTGTCCAAGACGAACCATACAAAACCACAAGCATGCATCGCCGTGTGTGGCAACGCAGTGCCACTCGTAACTACCACCGACTTCAGGAAGCAACCATCCGCGGAAGATCAGTCTGTTCAGCCATACCAGCAGCATCCCTGGCTCCGCCGTGGTCTCGCATCGCCCCAGCCGTCCAGCTGATTCAAACTGGATTTCAATCTTCCTCCAACCCCTCTACACTTCTCGGCCAAGTTGCATCATGCAAATGTCTGACAGGGAGCCACCAAGGCGGAAAGCCTGGCAGCTGAACGGTGCAATCCCGGACGTTTCGGGAAGTGCTCAATTAATTTAGTAGATGCTGGCTTTCAGTCGGCCTGCTCCTCCGCTATCTCGTCCAACGGGCGAGCAGGGACAATGCTGGAGAACTCGACCTAGATTCAAGGACGGTCCGCGTGATGTGAGAAGTGAGCTGCGAAAGAAAATTGACTGCTCTTTCACCCACAGGCACCAAAGGCATCTGATCTGCAGCAGCGGCGCTTTCCTGGCTGTTGCCCGTGCTGCATAAAGCATGCAAACAAAGTGACTCTCTCTCGACAGAAATCCGGCCTCAGCGCTTTGAACTATTGTGCTGTTGCCCGCGTCGAACCTCACGGCACGTGAGGAAATTTTCGGAGCTTCCTAGGCCTTTCGACGATGCAGCCTAGCTTCGGGTTCCGTCTCAGCTGGACAGTTCCAGCCGCTTCATCGACAGCGACAGGTGAAATCGCCACTTTTCCAAAGCCCAGTGTCGCATCCTTGCATGTGTGAGAGTTGTTGCAAGTGCTGACTCTGACAAGTACGTAATTTTCGTTCGTGAACTGAACTTGCCGCCGTGATTTCGGTTTCCAGCTGTGGTAGGCTGAGTGAGGCGTGCAGCATAAGCAGGTTTGATGGCTCAGGCTCCACAGCAATGACCCGGTGACCCATGGAAGCGAAAAGCAGTGTGCAGGCTCCGATGTTGGCCCCGAGATCGATGACGATGCAGCCGCTCCCAGCCGAACGCCAGTGCTGTGGGCTTAGCTGGGAAGTTGGAGGTGGAAGCAGCTCTGCGGACAAAGCGCATTCCGACCACTGACCCTGGTTCAAGATCCGTTTGTCGACCAAGGATCCACCGAGCCAAGAGCCCAACGATTCCGGTTGCCGGATACAGATTCGATACTCCCAGCCTAAGGCACGGACCTTCGTGAGAAACGTCCCTGGCGGACAAGTCCCTCTGAGGCTAAGTGCCTCCTGCAACCGGTGCAAGATGAGCCATAGTCTCGCGGGCTTCGGGGCTGATGGTTCTCTCATTGCCATCTTTTGCAGGAGCTCCAAGGACACTTTGGCAGCCTCCATCTGTGCAGTGAGCCTTTCGCCAGGCTGGATCACCAAGTGATCCTGTGAAGACGCCGCCTCGGCAGCAAGCCGGGCGGTCCCGGCAACAGCAGCTTCCATCTTCTCACAGAGTCCCTCCAGGGCGACCAACATGTCATCCTCGGCTGAGCTGTTGAAAGGAATGCTGCAGGCATCTTCGGCAGCATGCGCCAATAGGAGGAACACCGGCCAACCGCTGAACACTGCAGCTGGCCAAGGCATTCGAAGCACTTGCTGAGCTGCAGCAGAACGTGTGCTGCTGCAAGTTGCACTCTGCAGGAGTTGAAGTGCGATGATGCCAACTTGACATTCTGCAGCTAGGAGTGCTGACATTTCCTCCGAAATTTCCCCATGCTCTCGCAACGGCGTATCTAACACATCGCTGGGGTGGTTCGCGAGCACCCAGCTGACAAGATAGTTCCGCTGTCTGACCCAGAAGGGGCCGTTGATATCCTGGGTTACATTCATCGGGCTCGTTGTGACCCAGCATTCCTCCGCAAGATCATGTAGCAAGCCTTCCCCGTGAATAACGCTCCCGGGGAACGCACAGCATCTTGAGCGCACATTATCGCCGCCACATGTCTGAAAGCCCTCTCGTTTGCAACACTGCGACAGGCTGTCGTCTTGCCTCCAGCATGGTACCAGCTCCGGCTCAAAACCCACGGTCCAAGGTGCCACTCGCGGGAGTGTAGTGGGGAGCCAGTGCGCCAGACTGCTACCGATTATCATGAAAGCCAGCCTTGGGTTCACTTCAAGCGCCGTCGATTCCACCCTATCGTGAAATGCACACACCGCATCACTGCACTGTACCAGCATTAGACCGTCTGTTAGACCTACTTAGGACTTTTCAGCAAGACAAGCCACCAGACCCACCATACCATGCGAAGCCTTCAGTTGAGTGCTCATGGAGTCAGGGGAGGCTTAGGAACTGAGCCGAACAGCTCCCCATATCCCATATCAGCATGTGGCAGCTGCGCAGCGCCGGTCCCGCCGATCTTTGCAAAGCAGAACGCCCTTTTTTGTGGAGGTCCAGTGCTCTGCACGGTCTGTTCCTAGGGCGGGGTATTTCTGTCTTCCAGCCCCAGGGTCCCGATGATCGGTGTTGGTTCGCACGACTTCGAGAATTGACTGTACACGGTTTCGACGGGATGGGCCATCCCACCCTCTGAGACTCAGCGCCTCACTTTTGCCCAACCTTGGCCGAATGCAGCTGTTCGAGCCTGCCCTTCGCAAGCAAATCTCGTCACCGGGGCCTTCCTCCTCATCATCTGATTCAAGACCTGAGTGTTTCCAGGCTAGGAGTCCAGAACTCTCCATGCGCGACTATCGGCGTATCGAATCAAGGCAGGGGCTGCCGAACTTGTTGGCGCCAGCCAGGCTTGACAGTCCGTCGTGACCTGCAGGGCCCAGGACGGCACATCAGGACAAAACTCCCCCTTTCCCCCCCCAACCGGCCGGGCCCCGCACGTGGAAGCTCCTTGGCTGTGCTCTTTGCTTTGACCTGCGCTACACAGTGCTACCAGTACGCCCCGCTCCGGACCGCCGCTTTATCGCGCTGCCCTTTGCGATGCTTCGCGGCCTTTGGCTTTGCCTTTGCAGCGATCGGGTCGGGGCTTCTGCCGACTACGGCTTGCGCTACCTCGGCACTGGCCACCGTACATGCACGCTTGAAACGCTACGCCGCGCAGGACTAGAGGCACGAACCGCTTTGGCTGCTGTCTTGGCATTGGCTGCGCCGGCGCCAGCGCCTACAGCAGCAGCACCTTTCAGCACAGCGAGGCTTGCTAGCAACGCACCAGACTTCCAATGTTCTTTGGAAGGAGTCCGGAAGGAGCACACCAACTTTTCTGAGCCCGCAGCTGCTCTGAACTTGCGTCACCTGCATCGCAGGCAGACAATCCGACGCAGCTGGTCAGCAGAGTCTTCCATTGACATGGTCAGCGCCATGCCTTGCTTTTGACCCCGGTATAAGAGTCAGGAGCATAAGGTCTGTTTCTCGGAAAGGGAAGCTGGCTCAATGATTGGCGCGGGGGTTCAGGGAAGGGTGCAGGGAGGACTCGCAAGCTTTGGCTCTGTCGGGTATACGCCGGCGAGCTGAGTGAAAGTTGGTCGCACCTTGGCCAAGGCCTTCTCCTTCTTCCGCCTCTCTGCCTCGCGCTGCTTCTCCTGATTGGCCTCTCTCCGTCCCCGGGTCAATTTCAGTCACAAAAGTACCCCAGTCGGAACGAGTCCTTCTCAATGGCCAAGGACTTCTCCTTTCATTGCACGCAGGTCATACACAGCATGCGACAGGCGAGTTAGGAGGTGCCTGGAGAGCTTCCCAAGTCTCGGCATCAAAGTGCTGAGCGAAGTCGCGGGCAGATTCTGCGAGCTCTCTGGCCTGCGCCTTCATCAAGACACAAGAAGGACCGCCAGTCTTAGGGCTTGAAAGACGTCCACGACCGGCCTCTGTGATTCCAAGATGTTGCGCAACTGCTGTACATGTGCAGGCCTTGACACAGCAATTCGTCGCTTGCTCTCGCTCTCTCTCGGGTCGGGGCTGAGGAAACAGCATAAGAAAGCACAGGTGCGTCCTCGGGCTTGCCGCATCGCGATAAAAGGACTGGGGGCACTTCGCGGAATTCGGCTGCGGCCTCTGCCTTGGGCCGTGGGGCTGGCCGAGGTCGCGGGGCTGGTGCTGAGGCCTCAGGTCTCAAATGGTCTCAAAATCCGACAAGGCGCATACTCGGAGAGGGCTCAGGATCCTTCTGGGATTGATGGCACTTCCGCTTCGGCCCTCACCTGATGCAGGCTTCTGATCCCATGTTACGGGAATTCCCTGCATCGGCTTGCCTGGGCCGCAACCTGCGCCTGACGCAATGCGGCGGGAGCAACCGCTGCCGCCTTTGGCGGGTATCCTGCATTCTCAGAAGATCGCAAGTTTCCAGGACATGTCTCGCAATATATCTCCATGCCTGCAGGCGCTGCCGCCTGCATGCAAAATGGCTTCATGGGCGGCGTAGCATCCACGCATGTTTTGAGGCGCTTCGACAAGATCAAGCCTTCGAAGTTACGCTCGGATTCATCGGCCGAGAAGGTGCCTGAACGTCTTGAGCAGTCTAGCTCTCCAAAGTTCAGGGGGGTAAGCCAACGTTCCTGCCTTGCTGGCGACAGCTCGTGCTCGAGCAGACCGTGCCTCTGCAGCAAGGGCAGCTGCCCCCCTGGCCAGCGATGATCGGACCATTCCGCACTCTCATCGTCAGAAGGCCCATCTGAGAAAGTCTTCGCGCGCCTCTCCTTTTCCTCCGCCACCGGCGCCACGGCCGCCTCTGCTCGGCGAAGCTGCTGCTCCTCGACGATAGCCCTGCCAGCAGCTGGGGCGAAGGGCGGCTGGCTTCCGGCATCAAAGGCGAAGGCACCTGGCTTTCTCCACCTTGGCCTTGCTTTCTTCGAAGGAGCGCTTGAGAACCTTTATCTCGTCAATGTTGAGCCTCAAACTCCAAACTTGGCTATGCCGTGGGATTTTGACGCTCACATGGCAACTTGGCCCACAACATCTTCTTGCCCTTTTCCCATCCTCTGGCTTTGCGCAAGCGATGTCTCCCTGACGCGCCCGAGCTCCCGGGGTCCAAGCGCTCGTAGTCCTTGCGGATATCCTCCAACATGCGAAGGGAACAGCGGTGAACGGCGTTCAGAGGCCAGGGATGCTTTGTGACTCGAAGTGCTCGGCCTCGAAGGCCTTCTCGGACTTCGCTACGTCCTGCTTAGCCTCCGCTCTTCCCAAGGGAGCTGCGATGAAGTGCAGCTCTGCGGCCTGCGGGTCTTCGGGGCCCCGGCTCGGCGAACGTGCGCAGGGTCCTCTCTGCTGGACGCCGCCTGGCGAAAGGCGGCAAAGGCGGGGCCGGAGCATCACGTCAACTGCTCGGATAATAGCGGCTGGCCCGACAGGATATGGCAGGATGCCAAGGAAGGTATCATGTGTGCATGCGTAGGTCGTAAGTCAAATCAACCAGCATGTCTCCCCACTGCGCCTCTAGGCCGGTCAGGAGCTCCTGAAGCTTGCTCTTCTTTGCCTGACCTCCTGGAGCAACGGCACGGGAAAGCACAGCTCGATTGCGGATTCGGATGAACCTTTGGAGGTTTCGTCGATGGACTTCAGCTGCTCTTGCAAAAACCTTCGGCCACGATATGCCGTGAGAATCTGGTTGGAAGTAGCTTGGGCAGGCCTGCTGATCTCAGCTAGCTAAGCCTTCGACTCTTTCCCAACCTTCTTTTCGAAGGAAGCCACGCCGTCTGTTTTCGCAGCCTGCTTGAAATGCTCTGAGCAGCATTCATGGCAGCATCTCCTGCTACCCACCTGCCTGCAGCTGCTCGAACAGAGCCTTCTTGACATCCGTTTCTGTGGAAAGGATTGCGGCCTGAAGTCCGAAGCGGGTCCTGTCGGTGCCGAAAGCTGAGAGCTTCGCCAAGCCTGCTCATCATCAGGACTCTTGATGCCTTCAGAACGGAACGGAATGGAGAAGCTCGGATGCCACAATCACCTCCGTGGTACCATGCCTTTGATGTGCTCCACCTGGACCACTATGCCATTTGCGCGTGGTTACACTCGCAAAAAGGTATGGATTGCTGAGGGCTACAAGCGCCTCCTGGCCTCCTTCAACCGCGAGATGAGCCCGCAAAGCGAAAGCTCGGCGATTGCGAGAGGCGCCATGGCAAGCTACGTATATGTCTCCGTGAGGTTCTGCTAGAAGCTCTCGAAGGATCGCCTGGTCGACTAATGGCTCTGAAAGGTCTCTTTGATGGACTCGCCCCAAAGTCAGGACTCCAACCTTGGCCAAAATCGCTCGAAGACCGAGAGCTCTGAGTGGAAATCGGTACCCGAAGCAAGCAGCAGCAACAGCTTCGCTGGCCGAAGTTTGGAACCCGCCAATGCGACTGTACAATTCGCAATGAAACCAGTGAAACTTGCTATCAACGAGCAGTGTGCTTTCTCAAGCTACCATTAACCTAGCTAAAGAATCCAGGACACGCAGTCTCAGCGCTAGCATGAGAAACTAGTCAACCATGAACCTGCAAATCAGGGGCTGTTATTCTGGTCACCGTGTTGTGTATCATGGGCCTTTTCTCGCAGGGTAGCCATTGCTGGCCGCCTGCGCCGTGCAGTGGCATCGTGTCTCAAGAGGCAGCACCTCAACTCTCCCTCACCCGAGATCACGACCATATTGGGGATATCCTCTGCGCTGAGGAGATCCCCCACGTCCTATGTCCACATGCAACGTTCTCGTTCATGTGGAGTCCACTCGACTGGCTCGAACAGAGAGCGACGATTGCACAGGCGGTCATCAGCTAACGGCTTGCATGCAAAGTTTGTTCCTACATTGCAGCCCCCACACATGTACGACATGCGCAGGTGTTGCACATAAAACAATGGTAAGTTGCCATCAGTTTTTCTATCGCCTAGAGCAATCTGTACTCGCGGAGCTGCGATGAGCACGCGCCAGCTGTGAAGCATTGTCGATCTCAAGCCCAGAAGCGCTGCATGGGGCTACCGGCATCATGGGGACAATCCAACACCTGGTACGGTGCACCTCCTTAATACCTGTCACTGTCCTCGTTTGGTGGAACTCCATCTTGTCGAAAACCTGCCCAGCGCTGACACATGGCTTTTCGCAGGGTGCCTGCTGGAATCCACTCAACCGCGCGAAGAACCGTAAACCGAACCACGCCGTTATGGGTCTTGAGGGCTTCCTTGCTCATAGCCTGTACGAGCAAACAAATCATCTGGCTCCACCGACTCCTTGTCTTTTGCAGGTCGTGGCCTCAGGCACGCGAGCAACCTCCTAGAAACTCATGACTCTGGAATGCAAATGTCAGACAGGCTTTCGGCTTTCTGTGCTATGCAAAGCTCCTGAGACGAGACTGACCATTGTCGCCGCTTCAATGCTCTTGAACCACAGACCGCCCCCAAAGGTTTGAGACAAAGAGGCCAGGAAACCTCGACTATAGGGGGCATCACACTCTCGTGATTAGTCAATATGATGATGTTTTTTTTCGCCTGGCCAGTGTTGTGTTTTGTCTGCATGCATTCTGGACGAAGCAGTCATGCCTGAGCTCTGGACTCGAGGATTCTCGTTCCAACCTGCAGATCGGCACTTAACTCTGACCTGGACCTTTGATATTTCCTGGGCCAGGAAACGGCGGCTACAGCGGCCATGGGGTCCGAGCATGGCGCTTCCTTTTGCCAGCATTCGATCCAATTCTTGGCCACAGAACTGCAGCGATCTCATGGATCAGCTTCGCTTCTGACCATCGGCGTCTTGCAGAAACGTCATGCCCTCTTTGAGAGGGGAAGGGGAAGTATACACGGACGTGATCTCATCTTGGCTTGTTCTCCCACTCCCGTCGGACTTGGATCGACCAGAAGTTGATCCACTCCGCTTGAGCTTGCAGGACCAGAATCCGGATGCAGCTGACAGGGTTCACCGGAAGACTCGGAGGTGCACTCACCCCCTCCTCCCAGTAGATCACCCGGTCTCGCCGCACAGGCATCAAGTCCAAAAACTTGCTGCAAAACACCGCTTGGCCTTGCGCAGCTTGGCCACCGGCTATTTGGATCACGCCGTTCCCAAGGAGGTCCTTTGGATAGAAGTCACTCCCGAACTCGAAGAGCAAGGCCTTCACTTTCACGGAGCTTGCGAAAGTTAAAGTGACATGCTGACCGGCTTGTACATGAGTGGCCCACAACCAGCAACGTTTGGCAGTCTTCTGTTTGGGGCTCGCAGAGAAGTCACAGACGTCCTTCCGCTTCGCAGGTTCGCCATTTGGGAAATAGAGAAACTTGACATCATAGGTTGGCACGATTGTTAAGTTCTTGGTGACTTCCCCTGCAGGATTGTCCCAAAGTGTCTTGCCAAACTTGGTGTCCTGAAGGATCTGGTATCCATCGCCCAAGGTGCGGAAGACACCGACATGCTGGAACAAGGAAGTGTGACTTTTGAAGTACTCTATCTTCTTCCCTTGCGTCATGGACAACATCCACTGGTTGATCAGGATATCACAGGGCATCTGGTCATAGAACAAGAGAAGAAATTGTGCAAGCCGTGTAAGCTCGTTTGACTGGAAGTACTTCCCGATGAATCCCAGTTGCGAAAAATCTATCATCCTCCACGGGGCATTTTCTTTTGACTTGTAGGTCGGTGGGTAAGACGACGTTACGAAGTCATTTATCTTCGAAACCCAGTTATGGGCAAAATTTATGTCGTCTTCAAGCTGAAGGTAATAGGGAGCTAGGGAGGCGGCATAGTACATCAAGAAGGCGTAGTCGATGTTCTGCTTGGAGCGCCATCTCACGCGACGCGCATTATCCTTGTAGGTACACGTTGGGGGGCATATGTCCAGGGGCGGATAGAACTCTTCTTTGGCATGCAAAGCATGAAAATGACCAGCAGCGATGAGATCTTTATACTGCTCTTGGAGCTTGCCGGCTGTCTGATTGACCCAAGCGGTGTCGAAGTCAGCAAAATGAGCCACAATGACCACACTGTTTCGTTCCTCTGGAGAGACATGGGTTTCGCCCTGCAGACCGAGCATGAGGCTCACCGTGTCCATTACATAATCTTTCTTCCGCTTGACGCTGCCGAATCCGACGGCCATAGAAACACCGGGAGGTACTGGGTTTCCAAAAATCCGCAACTCGTCTCGCGAGACTGCGTATAACGAGGACTCCCTGCCTAGCTGCCTGCTTGTCGGATCTGAAAGCCTTACGGACTCCACGCTGGTCGCAACGGTCATAGGTGCCACTTTGGGCACGGGTGGAGCCTCAACCTGAACGCCGGGAGATGACGCTATCTTTGCTTTCAGGCTCGCGACTTCCTCCTCCAAAGCTTGAACAAGCTTCGACTTTGACTCCAACATGGCTCTCGCCTCCTCAACTTCCTCCCTCCAGCCTGTCACAGCGGGGGCAGCTGGGGGCGGCTCGGGCGATGGGGGGATTGGCTCCGAAGTCGGCGGGGAAGTGCAAGGCTCCGGGGTCGTTATCTGCATCTGCGTTGTCCAATTCAGCAGCATCAGATTTTGGACCAAGACGACAGCACCCGCGCAGCAGAACATGCGTCGCACCAGCCAGTCACCCAGGCGCTTTGTCGCAACCGGGCTGCCTTCGGCCACCATCGTTGGACCATGAGTGCTGCGGCACAAACACTTCAGGCTTTGGGGGGCCCAAATGTAAACTGGGTGGGCTGGGCTTGAAGGGAGCCGCGGCAAGCTGGCTACTTACATGCAAGCGTCTCGGTGACTCGATTTGTTCTGTGCTTTGCTGACGTGGCTGCGGAAGAAGCTTCAAGTTCAACTGCATCTTCGGCTCTGTGTTCGGGCTCCCCACATTACCAGCCTTTCGAAGCGACTGAACTTCTCTCTCTCGTTCAGTGAAAATTAAGTGTTGGGCAAGCTCCTGCTTGGAGTGTGTGTAGCTAGATCCAAGAGGGCGAGGAGCCTGCACCGGGAGATCTTTTCGAAGTCCGAAGAAGACAGGAACTACTGAAAGCCAAGCCACGACAAAGGGGTTCACCTCGTCGAAGCTTTCGCCTGAGAATCGCAAACAGCGAAGTCCTGTCGGCGGTGCTGAATGCTTGGTTTAGCTGTGGCTCAGGCTGTTGATGGGTAGCACCTCGGGCCGCATGCGGCCAGTGTCCCATGCGGAATCACAGACCAAGCAAATTTGATGCTCTTTGTTTTCGTTATGTGTGGCTTTGTAGTGTTGCTCCGCGCTTGGTGTCATGGCAGCAAAAGCATCAAACATGTCTCTGTGAAGCGCGGTTGGCCAAATCTTAGCCTGCTGCGTCGGTTGGTGGCCGCAGTGCCCCCGCACGCGGATACGCAGAGGCCAGAAGTGAAGCGCTTCCTGCACCGACCGAAACATCCGTGCATGACTTTGGCCGCTGCTCTCGAGTCCTCCTGGTCTCCCGTGACCGGACCCCTCGTTCTCAGAGTCTGACAGCCTTCAAAATCAGAAAGTGCTGTGCCAAAGGCTGGGACCGGGAACTCTCCAGGCCCGCAGCTCTGGAAGTTGCGGACGTTCGCCCGGCTCCGGCTCAAGGAAGCTTGCGAACTCCGTCTCGGACCTTCGAGAAACAGGAGTCTGCACCGGGTACACAGAACAAGTCGCAGGAACCCCTCAGCTGACCACTCAGACCTTTGCTTTGACAAAGGCCTATGAGATGTAAGCCAAGCTTTCGAAGCAATGTGGCACTGCATCGCATCTCTGAGCCCTCGTCCCCACGAGTGGTATGAAGGTCATGTGAAAGCCCTTCAAGTGTTGGCCTTCCAAGCCGTCCATTATCTTCGTTTGCATTGCTGTGTCTGCAAGTCCAGGCAACGGACCGTCTGAGCCGTTTTCCCGAACGGGCCTCGGGTCAGTCAGATACAGCACAAGTCGCACAAGATAGAAGCGTCGGTGTTGCACAGTACTGAGATTTGGACTGTGAGGGGGTGCCTCTTGCAACGGGGCGCCGCAGGGTCAGCCTGTGCCGCATGAGGACTCCTCACTTGTACGACAAGACTCTGACTTAGACTTAGGTCCGTACGTATCGCTAGGCCCCAGCTCCTGAGCTGGATAGGATCCCGCATGGCAAACGTAAGCCTGGGACTGTGTATTCCGAGGTTCCCTTTCGTCACCTCAGCTCGGAAACTCGAAGCACAGGCTTGGCTCATGCTCCGTTTACTTGCTGCTCAGAAGCCTGAAGTGCAGACCATGCTGTAGTTCAGCGTGACTCCAGCTGCGCTCAGCACCTGGCGTGCCCAAGTCTGTGCATCAGATGAGTGGCAATGAGTACTTAAGGCCAGCACGCGCAATCTGAAGCAGTAGTCCGGTGGCTCGGAAGACCTTCATTCATAGCTCAGATGGACACTTATTTTTTTGCCAACACGGCAAGTGACATGTTGGGAGCTGAGCCGTGGGTTGTTCTTCCGGACAGCCAGAATTTCGAAGTGGTCCTTTAGCCATTGCACGGGTCGAACGCGAGCCTCATTCCGCGACAGAGGACTGGCCTGTGCCATGATGGATCCCCACAAAGTGCCTGCCCCGAGTGGGAAGCTGTCACAAGCATCTCTCACAATTCAGGTTGCCAGTAGATTTCTGGGTCTACCAAAGCTCGTGTGTCACTTTCGTTCCACGACTCATTCCTGTTGTTTCATGCTTATGCTCGTGCGAAGCCCAGGGCCCAACCTCCTTTGAGCACTTCATCGGTGAGGATGCGCTCCCAAAGCCCCCCTGCCAGTCCGAGGTGATGTGTGATTGGACGACTCGCTTCTCTCCAGGCTCATGGCTTTGATAGAAGCGGCCGACACGAAGCCATGGCGAGGCAGCCTCCCGGCCGCTAAGGAGCAACGGTTTCATCCCTTTCTGAAGTTGAATGCCTCCGAAGCAGGCTCACAACCGAAGAGCTGCCTCTCCTGGCTTTTGCATAGACGGCTGTTGCACACGAGCCCACAGAAGCACTTGATTGTTCCGTATCTAGGATCTAGTACGCTCCCCAAGCTCGTCATGTCCACGGCCCGGACTACGAAGTCTCAGGCTCTGCCTTTAGCTGTCGCGGGTTTACTGCAGCATAGAAGCTCTGAACCCAAGGTTATGAGAGTTATGATTCATCCACTCGGGTCAAGGGGTTTACGGCCAAAGGATCTGAAGAGGCGAAAATCTCAGCGAATGGATTTTCGTAAGGCTTGTCAACCCAAGGGAATGGCACGCCAGGTCTTCCATTTTCAACCCTTCCGACGATCGAACTCTCGAACTTGGAACTCCACGGACCTTCGGACTTTCGAATTCGGCACGCTTGACACCTTCAAAGCTTTCATACCTCATGCAAACTCTCAAACTTTCGACCTCCCAGGTGTGACAGTGCACCTCAGCGGGGCCCTGCGAACCGAACTTGGATCAAAGCGTCAAACTCCCAAACGTTCGAATTGTGAGTTTTTAAAAGTAAGTATCACTCGTTCAGGTTCCCGAACGCGATCGAACTCGGTCGGGCTCGAATTTGGAAACTGAGGTTGAAGAAACCACTTGAGCTCGAACGTTTTTGAAAGCTTCGTTTTTACAAGGCCTCCCTGTGCAATGGCGACAGTGCCAGATACTTCCAAGCTGTGATCCGTCGGCACAGAAGTCAAACTTTTCAGAGTTTGCTCCCGGCAAAAGCGTACCACTTTTCTCAGCCTGTTGCTTCTGTTTGTGTGTGTACGTGTGCGAATCTACCCCATCTTGTGCCGCTGGCCCTTCTTTGAGCGGCTTCAGCTCAAGAAGACTATGGCCACGTTCGTGCTCATTGACAGCATTCCGAGCTTTGATCGCATGCTGAAGCAGTTGACATTGTGACAATGGGTTGGGTTCCACCACATGATCGTCACGGTGGGCCTCTACAACTAGCAAGCAAGTACCAAGCAACTAAAATTTGTTGAACGAGTGAGCGTCGATTAGCGAAGGGCGACGTCGGAGGACGTCAACAGCAGTTTACGGGTTCTCGAGTCGCAGCACCCACGCTGGTCCCAGTTCAGTGTGCATGTGTAGCACCCCTTTATACCCCCTTGCTGCGCACGATTCTGAACATGTAATGTACAGTCGGCGATCGTACGCACTTGCATCACATGTTGGTATGTCCGTGCTCTCCTGGGAACATGGAGACTTAGCTGCTGACTTCGGCAGGCAGCCATTCCCGGACCTCATCTCCGTGAACCTGCCAAACGAAGATGCAGGCGACTTCGGACACAGCCACGAGTAGGACAGTACGTGAACCCCCGAGACCTCGAGAGCGTAGAGCGCATCGGAAGGAGCAGGCGCCGAGGCCGAGGTGCGCCTCGGCGGCCGGCTTGCAGAGGGAGTGTAGAGGCCATTGGGCAGTCGAGACCCATGCCATCGACCGGCTACTGTTCCATTTGGAGGGCGCTGCAGTTCCTGTGGCAGCGCAACAGCTAACCCAACAAGCATCCGTGCAAGACTGGCTTCTTCGGTGCTGTCCTCTTGGCTGTGAAGGACATCGAAGGGCCTGAAAGGAAGCAGGCCTACTCATTCTGGACAGAAGTCCGGGCTCGAGATCTGCACCCTCTCGCTGGTTGCAGCTGCATCGGCTCCTGTGCTTTCCTCTTGCAACTTGCGATTGGCCGTTGACGAATTCACTCCTCCTGCACATCGCAGTCATCGCTCGGCCGGATCGTAGGCAGGGCTGCTGCAGCGGGGCTCGGCCCCAGCACCTTCCGATGCAGTGTCGTTCGCATTGCCCTGCTTCTGCCTCAACGCCGGCCTCGAACTGGAAAACAACGAAGACTTTCTTCTGGCCGTCGCCCGACGACACCGGATGAGCCTCAGCGCCAGTCCGCGAGCCATTAGGAGCTCAATTAAAGCCCAGACACTCCAAGACCACATGCACATGCTGCAGGCTTCAGGCACTGGCGGCCAGGGACAGCACGTCCCCATGCTGCAGCGGATGCTCTCCCGTACCTGACAAGCGGTTAGCTGAGCCAACGTGCGAAGTGCCGCGAGGCTCCGACTTCTGTCCATGTGTTGCCCGTTCAAGAAGATGGAATTCTGAGACAAGCAAGTGATGCCGAAGGACACCTGAAAGCTTCATGTGTACTATGGCCCAGAACTCTGGTACCGGTTTGAGAAGACTTGAAGCTGTCCAGTGGTGTGAGCATCCGACCTGGGGTACACCCAGATGCTTGGAAGAGCTGCGCGCAATCACCTGATAAAATCATGGCTGCCTGTGGAATCCGAAACGTTTCACCCGATTTCGCCACAGGCAGAGCCTTCAGGTGCTCGCGAGAGATGGTCGAGTGGTTGAACCTTTCTGTAGCTGTAGCTGCGCGGCTTTTGCCGACAACAACCATCATCGCGGCCTATTGGGCACCAGAGTCTCCCAGACCTCCAAAATGCGCAACAACGACCTTTCATTTCTTGTATAGAAGTCATATCTTTCCTGAGCTTCCCGCAGCATTCGGCTGTGCCGTTCTGCCGAAAATCGACTCCGCGCTGCCGCTGCCCGGCCTCGGCGCCGAGAGCACGGCCCGCAGCATCCCTGGGCCCCTCATAGCATAATGTAGGGGCCTAGATAGTTATACTAGTTTGGGGGGTTCCTTATGTATAATTACAGTACAATGGGTCCCGAACCCTATTCTAGTTATCAAGGCCCCTGCATTAGGCAGTTTGGTCCCGTCTTAGTTTGGCCTGGCGAGGCCCTGGCACAGCACGCTGCTCAGAGGTCAGCGTGGCCAGGTCCACACCCTCCGCATAGATGCACCTTAAAGCAACCACTGACAGTGAAGGCCCTGAAGAACCTTGGCGAGTCATTGCAAGCAAAGTGGTGTCAAGAACTGTGTGAGCTCGAAACCAGAAGTGGTAGGGCGGAACAGCCTCACACCAACGCAAGACTTGATGCGACACAAAGCTCGCGCTCGCACCTGCACATCTGAGTCGGCAGCACTGGGGTCGAGGAATTCCTGGTTCCCGGATGCATCTCCTCACTGCGGCGCTTTCACTCAACCCCACCCCAACCACACGTCCAGCAAGAAGCTCCCGGATGCCAAAGGATCGAAAGACCGTGCCTCCGTCCACTCCGAGTGTCGGCCAATCCTTTTCCCTCAGGGCAAGTCGACGTTCATTTTCAAGCGCAAACTGCCACAGCCGACATCAGCCGACAGCCTGGAAGAGCATCTGGGCACCTCTGGGCACCTGGCGCATCAGCGCTCCGCTCAGGATTTGGAGGTGCAGGCGCCTCAGCGGGCTTGGATATGGCGGGAAGGGAGGGGCTACGAGCACGACGAGCACAGCGCACCACGCCTTTGGCCTGGGAGCTGGCGCCATTCCAATCCTGAGAACTCATAGCTGCCTCATGCCGCCGGACCGATCTGAGCCCTTCACCCTGCAGGAGCTTGTGCAGCAGCTGCAGGCGCAGCAGCCTAAACTGAGGCGGCGAGGATCTGAACTGCGAGGATCTGAAGATCGCTGATATCGCCGCTGAGCCACGGCTGCCCATTGAGGTGCAGGTGCCGCACCGATCCGACCCTGGGGCGGTGGCCTCGCAGTTCTCGCAATGCTCCAAACAGCTTTGGGCCTTGAGCCCCGCACGGCGGCGCCGGAGGTCCCGCATTCAATTGGACCGGCTGCAGCGGTTGCGGAGCCGGCTGCGGGACCGGCTGCGGAGGAAGCTGGCTGAGCTGGCCGAGCTGGCTCTGACCCTGGCAGTTAGGATGACTCCAGCGGAGCATGGGCTGCTGGGCCTGCAGGCTCTCGACTCTCGTGGCCTCAAGCTCCGGTCTGGCGACACCTGCCGGCACGGTCGCGAAGAGTCTTTGCGGCACAGCCAGAGACCTCTGGGCACCCGCACGCCACCCAGCAGGCGTGGCTGGGACTTCCGTCCTGGAACAAAAATCGTGGCCAGCCCTTGATGCCGCAAAGTCCCCGCTACACCAGGAGCCTCTCTAGGCGAAGGTTCGCAGAAGGAACGTTCAGCTCGATCTCCCCAGAATCATACCTCGCACCGGCGTCATAAACTCTGCAGAATGGAATGCTCCGGTTGACCCGGCGGTTCTGAGAGAACAGCTGGATCTGGAAAGTGCCATTGCCGTTGTCCTTGAGGATCTGTCCACGGAGCCTACAACGCTGCTTTTCTTGCACTGCTTGCTCAGTGCAAAGGCTTTCTTGCCAAGAAGCCAGACTCCACTTCCGCGGTAGCGACTGAGAACAGCCAAGCCAGCCTGGGAATCTCGTCCCTATCAGGCTATCACATCACCAACCCAGTAAGCCGGTTTCGTTTCGGGAAAGGGGCAATAACTAAGCGAAGAGCTGAAAGTACCACTCGCCGTACCTGGGGCTTCTCACGCTCCCGCGACTCTCGAGGCAGCCTCGGTGAGCTACGCATAGCGGGGTGAAGCCGAGGAGTGCCCTTGCACTACTACAGACTACACGTATCATGAAAAATCGGAGATGCTTCTGCGTATCTTGCGTGGCTCATTTGCAGCTAAAGCACCCTGGAGCTTGATCCTGGTGTGCACCAGTAGCAGCAGAGCCTGCCAGACAGGACATGGAAGGTGGCAACCTCAAACCGTGTGCGCAGAATGGATTTTGGGCTCGAGTTGCCTCCATTGGTCGTGCTCGTGGCATCCGTGGCGAGTGCCGCCGAAGACTGGCAACAAACAACGGCTGGAACTGCTGGACACGCAGTCGGAATCGCGGAAATCATCGAACTAGAGAGGCTAGAATCGGCTAGAAATCTTCTGGCTACTGGACATCGCTTGTTAAAATCGCTTCTTTGCATGACCTACGAGACTGACTGGGAATTCTTTAGGAGATCATAGTTTCAAGGACTCATTTCTGCCCCCGATTATACTCTGCAGTGTGGAAGTGCGCAGAGCAGATGGAGCTGCGATGCAGAAGCGCACTCGTCTTTTCTCAGCTTTTGCCCACGTTTGTCCAATAGCATGCCGGCGCCAGCTTGCAGCTGGGCCAACCTCGGATGAACATGGCTGCTCAACATGGCAACATGTGCAAACTGTGAAGCAGAAAACATGATGTGACCTCCCGCCAAATGCAATCTGACCTGGCAGAGGACTCCGTCATTCAAGCCCTACCCATCTCATTGCCCACGGCTTCAGTAGTTATTCGATTCAGCGCGCTTCTTTCTGCATTCCATAACGTTCTGGTGTCGTGCCTCGTGTTTTTGCCACCTCGGCGTGTTGTTGCTGGCTTGACGGTCCGAAACCATGCAGGTCGATCAGCGAGTTGATGATCTCCCTCAACCTGTCCTCTTGCATGTGAGACACTCCAATGCCAAGGTCCGATGTGAAAGCGAGCATCAGCGGCGACCGTACTTACCCCTGCACTCTACGAAATAAAGGCTTCCTGCAGTTCGAGTTCTTTGCAGTTTATGGAAGGAGGTGACATCGTTTCTGTACATGGCCATGGCTATTATCGGTCCTTCAACATAACCAGGACCGGAGTCGGCATCAAAAGAACTCTGCTTCTCTCTCTTGCGGGACAGGCTGCAAGGATAGAAGCGGGAACAAACCAGCTTTGCCTGGATCGGCGCATGAATGCGCATGCACGCTCTTTACTGCTCTTGGAAGCCCAGGCTTTTGCAACAGACTGAGACTGAAACCAAGGAACCTGAAGCCTCACAGGCTGTCACTGCTGCGCACAGCACCGCTGCTTCCTTGGATGAATCGAAGTAACCACGACACGACAGGCTCCTCCACTCCCACTAGCATCCCAGCTTAGCGTCGGGATCAATGGAGGAATGCCGGAACTGCAGCAAAAACGAGGCGGCCATTGTCCATTGCCGCTGGCCACGACTGCCACAGGCGCGTGCGGCGGCAAACAGTGCCAGCTCTCCTGGTGCGCAACACAGCAACAGTGACAGCACATGAGGATGCTGGTGCTTAGCGAGACTGGGCTTAGCGAGACTGGGCTTGCTGTCTGAAAGTGTCTGAAACACGCTTCGCCAGGTTAACAAGTATCTGCCCGTCCTGGACGGCATGACTGCAAGTGCATGTCAAATAGAGCCAGCTGCGCCCGCAACCAGCAAGCGCACTTGCCCAAGCAGTCGGTCAAAGCGTTGAAGGTCTCTGTCGATACCGACCCCTCCGAGGCTGCGAGCCGGTGGAGGCAAAGCGCATGGCTCCATCGAAAGTTAAATTCGCACGCGCTGATGGCCGATGCACAGGTTAGACTCGATCGCGTGCGTGCAGGGGTGCCAGGAGCCTCATCTACAAAGCTTGCCTCTTGCTCGCGCAGGACACGAGTACAATGAAAATGCCAAGGCCGGCGCTCCATAGGACCGCAAGACATGGTAGAAGCGTATCGCCTCAAAGCAAACTAGCCTAGCTGTCTGTGCTAGGTTCTGCTGAGACTTCTCCAAGCTTGGAGCGAACAACACTCAACAAGTCAATGGTTCCAAGGGCAGCTCTGAGTGAAGCGGGGGGAGGGGTCTGCGCGGACGCTCAGATTGGTCAGGCTGCTTCGAACCAACGCAGCCCAGCACACTGCAGCTTCCGCATACCACGCACGGCACATGCTCCAGTAGGAAAGCGGCAACTTACCGGAAACTGAACCAAGAAATTGACTGACCCCTTGCCTCACTCCACGCTTCAGTAGGGCATTTAATAAGGCTTTACTGGGCCCACAGCCCGGCTAGTCTCTGCTCGTTCGCTCGGTCAGAACACCCTGCAATCCCGGCTTGAGCTTGGCGAGTAAGAACACTGGCGCAGATAAAGAAAGATTTACGATCAGAACACAAAAAGCCTCTAGCCGCCAAGAGACCGTCTTTCGCAAAGTGATTCAGCTAAGCAGCCCAGTCCCACACACCGGCTTGTGAGCAAGCATTCAGGACAGCGCCCGGCGCTTCAGGGCCATGGTTGATGCGCCGTGTCTCCATAGCATGGAGCATGTGTGCCTTGATTTCCGCGCGATCGCAACATTGGAAAGTTTTCTCGAGTGCAGTGCGGTCCAGCTGCCATTCGCTGCCAGTCTGAGACACTCCTGCAAGACGAGATGGCCGAGGTCCATGTTACCACATCTGGTCGTAGGCTCCTTGGAAGTCGCTTGCGATCCAGAGCCGACTCAGGCTCCGTTACTCTCAGCAGCTGTCCACTACGGTAGCTACAATCGACTTTACGTCCTTTTGCCTGCCAGGAAACGCCTGCAGCACTCCAACGGAAGATCTCAGGCCATAAAGGACGGCGAGCTCCCATTGGCCACCGCGATCTAAAGCCGGCAACAAACTGTTGAAGGCCATCAGGTCAGGTCCTGGAGTCGAGTTGTTGGTGGCCTGCTACACCCCCCCCCGCCCCTCATCCCGCTCAGTGGCTCAAGCCGGTCTTTCAAATTCGAGTTTTGCAGAAGAACTCTGACCAAGGCGTCGTGGCCGACTCGGTGGAGAGACTCTTAGACTCGTAAGTTAGGCAAAGGCAGGGATATCTTGCTTCCAAAAACTGGGAGAGACTCCACCCTTTGCCAGCGCCTGTGCGGTGGTCACCAGCTTCCCGAAGCCGAGCCATCAGGTGAAGCCCAAGTTGCCAAGTCCGACGTCCACCTCGGACTCAGGGACGGATTGGAAAACAGCTCCAAAGCACGAAGGCCCCTCCGGGAGGGCACAAGGGCCCCGGGGCTTTTCAGTCCGATCCGGGCCTGAAGCAGGCAGCGCGGAAGCTCCAAAAGCACCGACTGCCGCACTCACCACAGCGGAATTCAGCCGAAGTCTTGAAGTCTCGAAATCTTTGAGGACACTCAGCAGGCTTTCCAGCTGCTGTCCCTTTGCCAGGGCATGGAGCAGCACCCCGAAAATTCCGATGTCCTGCCTCACCGAAGCTTTGCGCAGGAGCTGCAACGTGTGGAGCCACTGCGCAGCTTTGGAGCAGGTTCCGGCAGCAGCAGTATAGAACTGAGAATCTGCACAAAGTGGCGACACGTCTTCCACTTGCTGGCAAGCAAGCTGCCATGAAGCGCAAGCTGAGAAAGCGCCAAGAATCGCCGTGTGCACTTGGATGGCCGGCTGCAGTCGCAATCTCGCCAACTCTTCCAGCACAGCACATGCTTCCGACCAGAGAGGTACGGAAGCACAGGCTCGTGCTTGAAGGGAGGCTGCATCGTTGATGTCCTTTGCACCGGACTCGAGCTTCAGCAAGGACTGCGTCAGCTGCCATGGGCTCTCGGAGAGCGCCGCGTGCCGCGCCGCTGCATCGGCCTCTACTCGCATGCCTCTCATCAGCTGAAAGGTGTTGGTCGCCTTCTGCCACAATGCCATTCGCGTTAGCGAGCTGAGCACTATTGTGAATTCTTTTCGTGACTGCAGCCACCCAGAAGCTCGCAGTAGCTCGATTGCCCGCACAGCTTCCTGTCACAGCGAGCGAAATCTCTCACAATCCATGGCTGCAACCACAACCATTTCTGAGACTCTGTTGTCATACTGAGTCATACTTACACAGGAACAGCAGCTACACGCGAGTATCCGGGAGAAACTCTGACTATGAGCTACACATCAGCACCTAGCAACGTCGTTTATTTATGCATCCAAAGTCGCTCGGTCGACAGTCGCGGCAGCTTGCCGCTTGCCTCGGCAGCATCGCAATCGCGAATCTGTGTCCTTTCATCCTCCATGCCGAACTGCAAGCCAGGTGCGGCGGTTGAGGATGAGCCTGAGCAGCTCGGCTTTGTGTGCGGCCGCAGAATTACATGCAGGCTTCGTCATGCCCCTCGTCCAAGCACCCTTCAACGGATCTTGGGCCAGGAAAGCTGTGCAGCAAAAACATCCAGAGGAGCAACATGAATTCGGCATGACCTTAAAATTGTAGGAAGGTGCTGCATGTCTTGACACGAGCAGAAGAGCAAGGCAGGTGTGCCAGGTGCAGTTCCCTCAATTCCTCCACCAGAAGCTTGAAGAGGGGCCGCTCCGCTGGAACCCTAAGGAGATTATGTGTTTCTGACCTCTGGGTTGGCAAGAACAAGCCACCAAAGGCGTCTTGGCACCAGGCGGCTGGATGCAGCGGAAGGCCACCTCATTTCGGCTCAGTCGCTCTCGCCCTGCAGCTTCTAGCTCGCTCGATCTCTCCTCATCACCTTACCTTTGTCTCCGTTCCTGCCTACCCCGCAGCGTGGGAACAACCAAGAGCCCCCAACCCCGAGCTTTAGCCAAAGGGGGTTTGGTTGTCGTAGGGATGTGGGACTTGCCATACACGGCATGGGGATCCCGACCTGGCTTGCTTGGTCGCTACTGGTACTTGCCCCACTTCAACCACACTCAAGCTGCATACTTCCAACTTCCAACAACACGCAGATTTGTCATCTCTTTGCTTTGCTGTGCTCTGTAGTTTCTGCGAGGCAGGCAGTCCCGTCATTTGTCATCTCTGTATCTCTCTCTCTCTCTCTCTCTTGCTTGCTTGGGACAATCCTTGGGAGTTTCCGACTCACTCGGACAAGGTAGCCATGGCTGGAGTTGCGGACGGCCCCTAGGGCCGCAAAGGAGCGCATGCAGTCCGACATCTGTTCTGTCCCCCTCCAACCGTCGCAGGACTTCCTTAGGCAACACATTCGCTCTTCCGCAACGCAAGGACTGGAGGGAGCGGCCACGTGTCAGTAGCCCAGGTGACTTCAAGCACGCCAAACACAACAAGTGCCGCTACACCAGGAACTCCACTCCCAGTCTCTTTCGTGTGCCTGCTCAAAGTATCTCTCACCCTGACGCATGGAGAGTCATGTCGTTGCTGGCTCTGTAACTTGCAAGCCCTGTCGAGTGGAGTCGTCCTTGATGGTAGCATTGCGGCCTGTCGGCTCAAAACACAAAAGAAATGAGCCAACCAGCAGGCACCTTTGACCCCCTGCACTGCCTCTCAAGTCTCTCTCACTGGTTGCGGTCTTCGGGGCCAGATTTCGGATTCCCCGATGCCCACGGAGGCTCATGCGACTCGCGCGTTTCCGGACTGTTCGGTTCTGCGCGGGCGCTTCATGCTGCGCTTGCACAGCGGTGGGCAATTGTGGCGAACCACGTTGCCGTGGATGTCCCAAACAGCCCCAAGACGAATGAGCTCCATCTTCCCCCAGACGCCTTACGGAGCCTGGCGATGGGGTCCCCTGGCCCGGGGCCCGAGGGCCTACCCTCCAAAGTTTGCATCGACAAGTCTGTGCACTTGGGTCATCCATGGACTCCCCAGGCACAACTACAAGAGAGAGACGACTTGCCCACAGAACAGCATGGACATTGAGAGCCTAGGAGCAAACCAGGCTATCAAAGAAACCAAACGACAGTAATAACTCCATTACCCTAGATTACCGTAGCATAGCGTGACGTCTGGGCATCTCTCTCTTTGCCGAACTCCGACCTCTCTCACTGTCTCTTGCTGGACTTGCTTGCCAGCGGTATGAGCTCGCTTTCTTTCTCAGGGCCTGAGGAAGGGGTCCCCCTGCGCTCCGGCGCACCCCGTTTTAGAGTAGTGAGTTTGGAAGCAGGGGGTATTCAGGTATACATCCCCGAAAAAGGAGGATGAAGTGCAAATCAGCCGCAAGAAGCAACACTACAAACGGTAAGCTAAGCGGGGCCCTCAACTTGACTCTCTCACCTTTGCATCCTCTTGTTGGTGTCTACTGTGCCTCCCAGTCATGAGCTCTCTCTTCCTTCCTTTTGCTGGGGTTCTCTCTATTTCTCTCGTTCGCACTCTCCCAGAGCTCTGCGACGAGGCTCTCGCATCCGTCATTGCCTGTGACACAGACTGTGGAAAGTTGCCGGTCGAATCCAGCATTTGCGCCACCTTGTGCCAGCGAGAATCGGATTTCGGATGGCAAGGTATTGGCCATGCTTAGAGCAGGCAATATCAAGGGAGATTGTGTTGAACAAAGATCAGTGCAGAATCTGTTCATTCTTTGTTCGAGAGGCTGCTGGGCTGTTCGAATTACTACCTGAATCTTCTCGCCGTACATGACCTTGCATGTGCAGCAACTTTCACACGCATCTGGTGCTACCTGAGGATGTTGAATTGCTCTGTGGCGACTACCTTCATCTTCTGCAGCGCTCCATACAAGAACTTGCAACTCTTCTGCTGTATGTAGTGTATGCAATCAAAAACACCTTGCACAAGCCAAGTCTTGCCCCACGGCCCTCACATCCAACCCAAATTTCCCCCTCGTCGCACTCAACACAGCCTCACACAATCTGAACCTCTCCATACCTCTCGTCCGGAATAGCAAAACAAAGCAGCTGTCAGCGAGTGCTGGTCACGCGCTCCAGCGGTTCGGCTGCATGCGTCGGTCTCTCCCTCTTAGCCTCAGCCTTCTCCGGCATTGCATTTCTCAGCGCCCGATGTGTCACCCAAGCATCATTGGAATTCTAAACAGCCGGCAGAATTTCTATAAAAATCTACGGTCGGCCTTGGTCTTGCTGCCACGGATGTGGTCCACCAGATAGCTGAACCTTCAACCGGCAAGGCCAACGCAAGAGCCAGCAACATCAGATCAGCATGTCACGTGAACAAGGAAACGCTACTGGCAGCTTGCTGTTTTCTCTCGCAGGATGCGTTGCTAGCTTTTGAATGCAGCGACCAGCCAAACACGAGTCGTACATGCCGCTCAACACGGTTTGCACGGGCGATGGCAGTTGGGCAACCGGGGCCAGCGGCTGCCGTTAGCAATTTTGTCGTCAGCTTCCGGATCAACCTCATCCTCGAAGACATCACAGAGACGGCAAACGAAGATCATCACATAACACGAGAGCTTCTCGCGTCTCACCAGATAGGACGCTATTCAGGTGGCAGCGCGGCGGGGCGCACAGGACGAATTGCCAAGACCCACGGCAGCTGGCAGACTCCTCTCGAGTGGGTAACTTCCCGGGCAACTTCTCCACCTGCTGCGGGAAGTGTGCCCAACTCCACAGACGATTGGCAAAAGGCCCTTCAGGAATAGACTGAGCTGAAGAGGTGTGGTTGCACAGACATGTTGCCGAGATGCAGCTGCGGAGACACGACACAGAAGTGAACCAATTCTTGCAGAAGGAGACTAGACAGATGTAGATGTTGCTATCTTGTGCATATTTCGTCGCTCGTTACGTCGCTTCATCTGCATGGAAAGCTTATACTCCTCCCGATTCGGATGCCTCTGACTGCCTAGCCCTGCTCCGAAACTCCCCCCGTTCCATCGTCGTGGATCCTGGACACCAACTTTCCTTGGCAAATAAGCAGTTTGATTCTTGCATCGTGGGCTTTCAGAACGTCAGAATCACGCATTTTCGTCTTGGCTCGGCTCGAGAGATCCTAGAAGGCATGCGCCAGTTCACGCACTCCAGCCGGTGACACGTGCTCGAGCAGGCCCTTCCTAGTTCCGGCCTCGTCTACGAGCTTCCCATTGCTGGGTCCTAGTAGGTCCAATGAGATCCTAGTGTGCGTCCGAGGTCTACAGTGGCCCCCTGTGCCCACGGGCTCCGGCCCGTGAAGGCATTGACTGGGCATCGATGACTGTCCCCGGATGCTCAGCAAGCCGATCTAGGTCCTCTGTCTGTGCTCTGGACAAGCTTCTCTTGTAAGCATCAGCTGAACCAGTAAGAGCCCCACAACCAACGATCAACACTCCGAAGCAAAAGAGCAGAAAAGCCACGAACCCGATGATTCCGAAGACCTTGACGTAGTCAGTTGCTTCCTCTGTCTGCACTCCGGGCCCGCATGCACGAGCTACCCGCTCCCCTGCCACCATTGTAGCAGCCTCGGGGAAGGACCTAGAGCACTCGTCAGAGTAACCATACCAGCATCCATCTCTCGTGCTGTGCTCCCAAATTGAACATGCAGAATCTGCATAGCAGACATCCCGGCACTGCAGGACTTCCGTCTTGTAGGTGCCGATTGGGCTCTTCGCTCTGATGTCGGCCTGCTTCATGCCAATCCCACGGCACCAGCGTCCCTTTTCCAAGAGGATGGTCTCTGACACGGTCCCGTGTGAAATGCGTTGACCAGCGAGGACAAGCAAGTCATCAAACCGCTCGCTTTGGCATTCTAGGCCACGGCCAGTGTAACACTTTCCCAGCTGTTCGCCGGAGTTTTCTCGCGTGTTGCCCCATTGCCACACCTCACAGTCGGCATCATCACAGCAAATCCTTCGACAGTCGCCCTGAGTAATTGAGCTACTCTGCAACTGCAGTCCCAAGCAAAGGCCCTCCCAGCCGTTTGCCACATCCTGGATGACTTGGCATCTGCCGCACGGAATGGGCATGGCACGGGGTTCACAACACAAACAGCTTCTTTCACTTAGAGCCTGGCTCAACCTACGGATGTAGCGGAGATTAGCGGAGGAGCGATGTGCAAAAATTCCCGAAGACGTCAGGCATGTGTTTGAGGCGCGGGCTCTCCTGGCGTGTTTGGTTTGGCAACAGCGGGCCTCGGGCCACACAACGTGCTAAGAGAAGGCTTTTGATCAGGCTTAGAGGCTTGGCAAACTTGGAACCCGACGGGGCGCCAGTAAGCACCTCCAGAACGACCATCCCGAAGCTGTGCACCTTCAGATGCAGGGCCTTCGTACATGCTTCCACTTTGAACACCCTACCAACTGATACTGCAGGACCTCACTTCCTTCCGTGATGATGCCGGTCCGGATATACCTGAAGATTGCTTGCTAAAAGCTCGTCGCCTATCACGAAGCAGCAAAATATGCCAGGCGGACTCTGGACATGCATAGCCAACGGTGCCACTGGCCTCCACCGAGATGTCGTCAGTACTACAGATGAAAATCGGATGAGAACGGGAATGACAGCCTGCTGCACTTTGTGCTGGGCGCCGGCGGACACCTGTCCCACGATGCCGCGGCGCGGTTAAAGCCGAGAGGGTTTTTCGAATTTCAGGAACGCACGCACGAGAGCCCGAAGTCGGCCATCTTGGCAGTTCCTCAGGTGCCCAATCATTGCCAAAGCCTCATTTTTCGTAGAGAAGGCGCCCGGGCCGTTCTTGTCTAGGAGGATGTTGGGGCCCTTGATATCGCGATGGAAAGCCTGGGCACAGGTCCAGGGCTTGTCAAGGCCTGACTCTGTCCTAAGTTTGCCTCTCAGGCAGGCACCCGCGGCGTCATGTTGTGCAGATGAGACAGGCCACATGCAGCATCCAGGCAAGCACTCAGCCGCGCTCTCCACTCAAACCTGGCAGCTCAGGTTGTCCTGCTTATCGTGTGTTTGCTTAGGTTGCCGGAACCATACAAGCATCGGACATTCGGAGGTCTACGAAAGATTCTACGCCCTCTCACACAGCTGCACCTGCACGACGGCAATGCATACTTTTATTTCTTCCAACGGCCGTATACCACGGCTGTAGAACGCTCAATACTGAGCTTCGGAACACACCATCGATCTGACCGCGACATCCCAATGCCCTCATTTAGACCCAAATCCTGCGAGCGAGCGAGCGACAGATCATGACAGATCCTAAGCCCTTCGCTCGGACAGGCCAGACGAGGTCTCTTGGTACGACTGCTCACTACAAGAGGGTGGAAGAGCTCAGGAACGACTATCCAAAGAAGCCACAGAAACGATTCGCGATTAGGCCTCTCATTCCAAGCCCTGCAGTTTTAATGTCGAATCAGGCAGGCTTGGCGGCTCATTGTGATTCCTGCTTCTCTGTATCCGCCGGGTGACCTTGTGCCCACAGCCGGCCAAAAGCTTGCGAACAGTGTATACCAGTTGCATGTTAACACCGATTGCCACACAAAGCACGAACAGAAGTTGGAACAGATTGCAAACAAACGCCATGGACGCAAAATCCTGACAAGTTGAAAAGATGCATTCTGCAGTGTCAATGATTGTGAATGCAAGTGGTGGCTTTACTAAGCGTCGAGCATCACCGCCAGCCAGGAATTCGTAGATGAGACTTCTCCATCCCCTGCCATGTTCTCGCAGTTGCAAAATGCTTAAGAGAGGTGCTAGCTGCTACACCTGGTTGTGGGGAGCAAAACTTGCTTTGCATGAAGCCCGTTTACTCACGAGTTGCTCAGGCCCCTTAAGAGTCATGCCAGCATGCATCCAGCGACTGGGATTCTGGGATCAGACAATACAAATGCCGCGGCACGGCTATTAGCCGTGGGCATTGGAAAACAGCAGCCCTTCTTGACAAGAAGTGCCACTACCGGCTGGACTAAGCCTGAGCAGACAGTCTCCGAAAAGCATGCACGCATGATTCGGAAACTATTGCAAAAACGGCTTCACGCCGATTAGCGAAGCAACATGCAGCCGGGCCCGCCTCCTGAATGACCTTCCATAACCCTAATGGCAGACGAACGCATGCAGCGCAGTCCGATAAGCGGACGCTTTCTGTGACTGGTTACATCTCCACACCCCGTCTGCCAAAAGGTAGTGAAACAGTGTGTAACTTGGCGCAAGGCACCGAGAAAGAAAACTAGTTCGCTCCAGCTGAACACGCAAAAACAGTTACACAGAACTACCTTTATGAGTTCGCTGGGGCCACCAGCGCCTCTTCAAGCGCAGTCGCGAAGGCAAGTGCGATTCAGCTAAGTCACAGTTTGCAATTTCACTGTGAGCTGCTGGTGGGACCGCTGAAGCTGTTCTGGAAGGTCACCTGATGCAGAAGTAATGGAGTGTTGAAGCAAGCGGTTTTGCATTCACTGAGCAAGGTACTGTGGGTAAACTTCCGCCGGCGGAGGCGGAGGAAGCTCAATGTCCCCCGCAGGAGGAGGCATGTACGGGCTGCTGTATGAGTTTTGGGACGCCAATGGTGGGCCAGGTCCCGCGTAGCCCGGATGGCCCGGCCTGCTCAGAGCATCAGAGCATCAGCTTTCTGCTGGCCTTCCATGGACTCTGAGTTCCAAGCGATGTAAATGGCTTGCCACAGCAGAGACAGACGTCTGCTCCTCGGACAGCGGCAGTCCAACCGAACTTGCAAGGGCTACTCAGGGCAATCATGTCCGCACAGGCCGCACAGGGCAACCTCTTTTCCTTCAAGATGTTTGGCATTTAAAATTCCTGCGAATCAGGACGGAGCATGCTTTGAATTACCCACCACGTGCTGGTAAACGCAGCGAAGCGGTGTGCTGAACAAAAGCATACTCGGCATAGTCTTCGGAAGGCTTTCCTTTGCTGGTGCTGTAGAGCCCAAGGTAGCTGCCAGTGTACCCGTAGCTCAGCAAAAGGTCTGCAGCCATCTCCGCACACGAAGTAAAGCTAGCCCCATCATCCAGCGAGTAGCTAAAACTGTATGTGTGGTTGCAGGATTCGATCCTGAATGTGATGCTGCCCTTGTAAGCGGCGAGATCATCGCCGTAAAGAGCACGCTCTTCCTTTCCTCGCTCCTTCAGGGTGACGCACACCCTGTGCTTTCCTCCCATGAGCTGCACGACGAAGTTGACGTAGTTGTCATCCTTCTGGAAAACACTTGTGCCAGCCTCCACACCATCTGTGACTGGATTGAAGGTCATCTTAGTGAGGAACGTAAACTCACTTTGCCGCTGTCGTATCCCCATTAAGCTACAAGACGCACGCTCCTCAATCACTTGTGGCTGGGCATTCAGCCGCAAACATCCAGGGCTGAGGACATACATTCCTTCTCTCGGAACACGCCGAAAGTTCCACTCTGGGTGCAGGGATGGCGATTCGAAAGTGTCACGAAAGGTGTTGCAAGCATGCAGCTGCATCGACTTTAAAGGAAGAACCGATTGACGCTCGACACGGCCGGTATCCGGTGCACAAACAGGCCACAGCCTCTCTCCGGCAGGTCCCAAAGAGTGCCACTCCATTGGCTCTCGCTCCCAGCGAACCGGTACTAGGTGTGTTTCCCGCCCCATGTTTGAGCGCTTCATGCCCTGTTTACCCTCCTCCGCTCGCACCCCCAAACACACCATGAACCATCGCCCGTCTGGCAGCTGGAACAGATCACCATGTCCTGTGCTGTGGACCCAGTTATCATAAGAGAGGTGGCGCGAGGTCAAGATTGGGTTCCGGTCGTTTGGATAGAAAGGGCCAGTGACCTTGTCACCTTGGCTTTGCACCGTGGGCTACCGAATGAAACGACGCAGAAGAAGCACATAACAACAAACCACATTATAGACAAGCAACTAATAGCAATGACTTCTGCATGGTTCACGCCGGTGCCGCCTTCAGCCGCCATGAGGTAGTACGAGCCTTCGTGCTTGTACATGTGCGGCCCCTCCACGAAAACACCGCCATGGAGAGCTCCCCGCCACAAGTGGTGCCGCTCTCCGACCAACTTGAAGGCCCCCAAGTCTAGCTCCTTAAGCAGTTCAAAGCACAAAGCACAGGTGGAGCAAGCAGGTGCACTTCAGATGCACGTCGGCCGGCAGTGCAGAAACTGGGCATCACGCGTGGCAGTAGAGCTCTCCTGAGCAACTGCTTTGGTGTCTTCTGGGAATCCGCTAGAATCTGCTACCTGTAGAAGCCACTTCTGCGGCCTGGGCACCTTCTCCTGGATAATTTGCCTTGTCGGGCGCCGCAGTTCCCACGTACCAGGCCTTCCCATCATCATCAAAGAAGATGTCGGGATCTATGCCTGGGGCACCTTCGATGACATGGGGATCTGACCAGGGGCCATGAATGTCCGATGCCGTGATGATGAAGTTCGTGCAGGTTCCCTCGTCAGTTCCGGGTGGACGATACACGCAGGTGGTGATAATGTAGAATGTCCCATCCTTGTATCGGAGAGATGGGGCTTGAATGCCATCCTCAGACTTCACATCAACGAGGTTCACTGCTGAGCTCACCTGCTCTTTCCTGTGTAGACCATAGCCCACCCATCTCCAGTTTACCAAGTCTGTGCTCTCGTGGATCGGCAGACCCGGGAAGTATTCGAAAGAAGAGTTGCAGATGTAGTAGACGTCGCCGACCCTGCAAATTGACGGATCTGGGAAGCCACCTGGAATAATGGGATTCAAGAAGTTGTCCGGATCTTCGAATTTTACGACCATGGCCCAGTCAACGCGAGTAGCTCAAAGCTGACATGGCTGCAGCCGTTCCCAGGGAAGCTCAAACGCCAGCCTACGACTCCCCGACCCCGATACTGCAAATGCTTTTGCTCAGGGCTCGGCGCAGCATTTGAGTGAAGGACTCAAACTCAATCTGCTGCATGCACATCTGGTACGCGTGCCAGTTCGAGTCCTTGCTGAGGGTGCCGTCATCGGCTTACAGGGGTCTACCTGCGGCCTGCAAGAAATCTCCTCGTTGGCCTTCATCCACTCCAAGCCAGCCAGGAAATCTTCCTGTCAAGATGTAGGCTGCAATCCCGCAACATGGAGCAGCAAGCGCTGTCCTCAGAACCTCCATAAAGTGAGAAGAAGCGTGACATGTGCAGGTCCTTAGATCGGCTTGGGCGTTTGTGGGAGCCGGCTTCACATCATGATGCATGCCGAGTTGCTATCAGCTTGGCCTGAGATGTAGCTCGACGGTCTCGCGCAAAGCAAAGAAGGCATGGGATGGCAATAATGAAACTCATCTGCTTTATGTCAAGTGTCGAATTCCATATACGCCATTCTTTGTTCCAGTGTATAGTCATCCGACGTGCGCGGCTGCACAAAGCAGGCGCGATATTTGACCTGCAACTGACAGAGAAGCGCTTCTCTTTTCAATTGCGGCCCATGCGCAGCCCACGGTTTAGACGACAGATGACAGATGGGCCTGGAAGTCACGAATGGACTCCTTATGTTCACGGGCTGAAGCTCGCTGGTCAAGTGAAAGTTCTGCACGAAGAGGTGGCGAACCACAGCCACACAGACTTCAAGGAGTCTTCTTTGCAGACAAGCGTCTAGAATGTGGGGGTTCTGACGCAAATGCTGCAGAAATTGGTTTGGCAGCGTATCGCTCATATTGGCAGCACCAAACCGAAGTGAGATGAGTGACTGACGTCTTAGGCGTGTATGGTGTGCAGTTGTCAGCAATGCTCGCAGCGCTGCTCCTCCTGGCTTCTTCCATCTTTGCGGTGCTTTGTCTTGCAAACCTTCCGGATTACCCTTGATGTTCCTGGAGCCCGGATCAGACCTGGAGATTCATGCGGCAACGCAGTTCTGTGGTGCTTTCGCGAAGAAGCAGCGGCTGTTTTCAGTGCAGCATCCAGCTGGCGGATCTATGTCATCTATGTACATGAAACGGATATGGAAACTGGAGCGCAGGAGCATGGACAAGAAGGCCGCCTTTAGCAACCTGTTCCCTTGTTTTGATGGGTGCTCGACCTGAAAGCCTAAAAGCGTCTTCGACCATACTGCTCGGCCTAGAAGAAAGCAGCGACATTGACGCCAGTTACCACGACGGTCAGTGCAATTCCAAAAGCAACCAGCAAGATGTCTGACCAAAGACACTCCTTCACGAGGATATAGTGGGCAACGGCAGGAAAAACAAAAGCCAGCGGCACACCGCAAAGAGCGCCAATGAGGCTCACGAAGTTATCAAGCTTGCTAGCCCCCAGGACAGCCACTCCGGCAAGGAGCACCACGACAAGTGCCCGAAAAGCCGTTTTCGCAGCTTTTCGCATCAGTGGAGGATCAGATACAGGTGTAAAGAAAAAGGTTTCCAGTAGCCGAGTTGCTGGCAGGAACTGCAGCGGAAAGGAGCACCAAACTTGCAGCATAAAGGCGAAGCGGACGAGAAATACTGCAATAGACTGTGGGAAGTTCAGCAGGATGAGATTCGAAACATCACTGCCAAATGCCATGTAACCAAGCACTCCAATGGCGCAAACGACTGCAAGTGTTCCAGTTTGGACGAGGACCTGAATTCGATTCATGAGTACAGGCATACAGATGCATCACACAAGCCCTGCGCGTGAGGATCCTGGCTAAATGCGAGCAGCTGCTCCTGCTAGCGCTAGCACATGTCGTTCCAGTCAAGGGGCGTAAATCCACGAAAAGTCTTCCGGCTTCTTGCTGGCGTCATAAGTTGGCAAGATAAGGCCGATGCCCTCGAACATGAAGCAAGCCTGGCCAATACAAACCAGCAGTTGGCTCCAGTTCATGAGCGTGAGCTCCGGTGACTCTTCCACCACCGCCTGGACCTCCAGCGTCCCCACGATGAGGAGCCCCAAAATCACGAGCGCCGTGCCCGCCAAGCTTAGGGGCCAGAGGGAGGCCACCTTCCGCACGGCTACCAAGGGTACCATAAAGACGGCCATGCCGGCAATCAAGAGCTCCAAGGACGTTTTCGGGAGAAGCGTGGTCTGCAGAAGCTTGGAGGCGACAATGAAGTAGGTGCAGCAGATTCCCAGCTGCAAGAGGACAATGAAGAGGTTGGAAGCAGCACGGCCACTTGGCCCGAGCGCATTGTTCATCAAGTCACCGTAACCTGCATGACTCTCTGTCGTTAGGCGAACCTTGAGCAGCAAGAGCGCACACCAGATCGAAGCGAAGCCGATTAACGGCACGACGATGGAGGCAAGTAGAAGACCTCTGGATGCTAGCCGCCCTTTCCCCCTCGCTTCACATTACGGTGATGGTGTCCTGTTGCCTGTTGCTGGCTTAAAACCGATGGTTACTGCCCCCCCCCCGCCCCGGCCTCCGTGCATCCAGCCACGAGGCATGTACAGGATGGCACAGCCGCAGTTGCCCTTGAAGATCAAGAATGCGATGCTAAGATTGCTTGCGCCATGCCGAATAGGCTGAGCATCTTCGTCATCACTGAGATTCAGTCCGTAAACATGACTTTCAACCTGGAAGCTGGTTGCAGCCAGTGTGTCAACCAATCGCTGACTCCACGTTTGGGGCAAATCCTCCGCTTGTAGCCCCTGATTTATGGCCTGCGTTTGCAGAAACCCTCGCCGAAATCCTCCCGGCTCTCGCAGTCTGCGGGAGGCAGCTAACTCTGGGCTCATTCTCTCACGGTTCTCCGCGCCACTCCAAGAGTTATTTCTCGGAAGTCCAGGCGATTGCTCCTGCAGAAGTTGCTTCTGCAAGTCTGCCACATCTGACCTCTCGCGCTGGGAGCCAGATGCAGCCGCTGTGCTCCCTGTCGCCGCAGGCGCTGCAGCCTCCGAAGCCATTGCAGCACCCATCTCGGGCATGCTCAGCGAAGTAAACACAAGAAAGCATGCAGCATAGCTAGTGCCTTTGAGCCATAAGATACGCGGGAAGCTGCTGGCATCAGCGCTTGAAACACATAAACAGTGAGGGGCGACGTCGCTGCATGTCGAGCGAAGCCCATGAGGATCACAAGGTTGGGATGCCGGAATCTGGAGAGAACCTGTCAGCTCTCGGCGACACCACGAACATCGCAAACTTAGGCTGGAGAAGTAGTCAGAGGGCTCGAAACAAGGAGGCGGCCTTTATCTCTTCCTCAAAGCCTGCCTCCTCTGGCACTTGCAAGACCTGTGATCGCGAACTCGGTCGCTGAACCGGGAATGCTACATGCCTTTGCTCCTGCCTTGATGGCGACCTCTGTCCCGTCCTTCATCGTTCCACGGTAGACCTGGTGCAACCGCCGACCACGTTCTGTGTCCGAAAAAACCCACAAGGACAAGGGCCGTGCACTACCGAAGGTGCCAGAGCCAAGCAAACAGCTCGGATCAAAGTTTCTTGTTGAAGCCTGCCAGCACACCCACGGCTACTGACATCAAGATCAAATGGGTCACACCGCCTTGATCTCTTCCTCGAAGTATTCATTGCTGGCCTGCTACATGAACACCACCACTTACTATGTCTGATCCTGCAACTCCTGCCTGGTTGAGGTGAGAGTCTGTTTTCAGCTTGCTTCCTGGCGCAGACTTGCAACTTGCCTCTGCGAGCGGCCCAAGATCGCCGCCGCCTTCAATGTAGTCCAGGGCTGGGTCGAGCCAGCTTGACTTCCACCTAAGGTGCATCCCCAAGATTGGATCTCCACTTAGAACTGCACGGAACGAACAAAGCTCCCGACTGCTCGAGCAATCCAGGAATCCCGAAGCCGGACATTCGTTCCGTGAAAATCGTCCTCCAGAAGAATGAAGCGGATCAGGTCCTGCAAAGCTTTGTTCTCTTGAATGTTTATGTCACCCATCCACAGCACCACGATCTTTCACAGCAAGAGGCACAAAAAGCTGAAGATATACCGTCGGAACCATAAGCTGAATCTATACAGATCATGCAATTCGCGGCTGTGAACTCAAAATGCGCGTCTGTGCATCGGAGCCATCAGCCGAAGTTGTACAAGTTTTCACAAAAAAATCTATGGGACAGCAATCACAGCAGCAGGACGCCTCTTGGCAGCAGGACGCTGCATCCTCTTCGGATTGTTTCTGGCATTGAAAGCCGCTTTGCGTCTCGTATCCAGCTCCTGTCTTACCTTCTGTAGGTCAGCTGGAGACATGCATGCACGAGTCTCCTTCGCCTCGATCGTGTATATCTCACGGGAGTTATCTACGGCGGGATTCCCGAAGGGAATGCCCGAGACCACCATGTCCGGATTATCCACTCGCATGCTTGCATGTACAAATTGCTCCAAGTGTTGAGCTCTGGTAGCAGACTTGGCAAGGTACATGAACATAAACCCATCTAATCTCAAGTTCTCCCGACGCATTGTCTGTGCATAACGCCGTAATCTAACCCGTACTGACATTGATGTTCTTCAAGCCACGGCCATCCTACAACATTGTAGGCCTTCTAGCGTGCTGGAGAAACACAAACAACCGTGGTCCAGCGCGCTCGAAGGCGTACAATGTTGTAGGATGGCCGTGGCTTGAAGAATATAAAGTACTGGACTCGTACGTTCCAGGTCCTCCCAGAATCTCGCTCACCTTAGTTTGCGGACCGTTACCTGAATCCAGCCCGGGCTGGATTCAAATAAGGGGCGAAACCTCTGTCAGCTTATATAGGTTTTCTATAGGTTTTGATTCGTCATGCAGCTGGGAGACTCTGCATAGGCCTTCTTCAGCAGTGACTCGTTCTGGAAGTTGCTCTACTAGCTTTGGCCGGTGCATCTCTAGGAATTTCAAGTTGCAGTTCTCCTCCTTGGTCTTGTAATCTTCCTGCACGGCCCGCACTCGTGCATCCACATCCGATAGAAGCTGCTCGGCATCTGTTGCGAAGGAAGCTTCATATAGCGCAAAGAACAAAACTCTAGCCACGGATGCACGTCGTGCCAAACAGGTATCGCGACATCGTCGTTGATGAACGTCTGTACTGGCTCGCGCTTCACGCCCTCAGTCCGTTTGTGCTTCACCGGCTTCTTGCTGTTGATCGTATTGGCTAAGCTTTGTGCTAAAGCAGCGGTTCTTGACCGCTCTTCCGATCGTTGTCTAGCCAACTCGATCTCCTGCTGGTTGGATACAGCCTGAAGCTCAGCAACTCGTGATAGACGTCGTACGGTGCTTATCCAGGCAGAGGCTGCAGGACTTCCGAAGACAACAGAACTGTCCATGGCATCTCTTACTCCGCTAGAGATGGCAGGACCATAGCACCTTTTCCTCCGCCATCTTGCGAACCCGGAGAAACAAGCGCTGCGCTAACGAGTTAGCCCAAAATCCTACTTAGGGTGCAGTGGCTCCTTTTTTGGATGGTCGAGTCGCATATATAATGCGCCCGGCCGAGCACACCGCCCCGAAAACCGGTGCCGGTGCCGGGGTGCGCACTTCTGCGTCCACCCCGGACAACCGCCCGGTGGGGCGGGTGACGGCCGTATATAAGTCAAGAAAATCTCAAGGGTGGAGTGGGCGGGAACTCAAATCAGGCGATCGAACCGGCAACCTGCGGTTCGGTCGCTGACGCTTGTTCCTACTCGCACACGTGCGCTACACAACAAGCGCTGCGCTAACGAGTTAGCCCAAAATCCTACTTAGGGTGCAGTGGCTCCTTTTTTGGATGGTCGAGTCGCATATAATGCGCCCGGCCGAGCACACCGCCCCGAAAACCGGTGCCGGTGCCGGGGTGCGCACTTCTGCGTCCGCCCGGCGCACCCACCCCCCACAAGGTGCCGGCACTAACTACCAAGAAGCAAGGTCTAGCAGCCTCTCAGGAGCCTCGTGGCAGGCGTAGTCGATGTCGGTCGCCGCCCGCCCGAGGATCACCATGACGTCGTCGACCGGTGCCCGAACGCGGCACCACCCTTCCCGGACCGCCCGGGAGTCGTCGCCCCGAGAGACGGCGTCGGAGACATTGGCGGCGGAGGGGACCCTGTAGAACTCGGGGCACCAAGCCCTATCAGCCGCAAGTCCCCAGAAAGAAGCAAGGATGCCGTTCACGGCGGGGTCCCGCCCATAGCCCTTCATGAGGGCAAACTGCCCGGCGACATTGTCAATGAAGGCGATCCAGTGTTGGGGCAGCCGCCTTGCAAAGGTGATGATCGGGAGCACCTGCGCCAAGATCTCCAGCACGTAGATGAATGCCCGGCGGGACGCGAAGGGCTTGAGGTACTCGGGCTTGACGACGCCGAAGTCGTAGAACACCTGGCCCTCGAAGAGGAGCACAAAGCCCCAGCCGTTCTCCCACCTGGCGGACCGAGGGACCGGGTCTCCCGGCTGAAGGTGGCCCACCTTCTTGCGCAAGTCGCCCTCTAGGAAGAAGGCGTCCGCATAGAGGACTGGGACTGGTCCTGTAACGGCCAGGGGATAAGCCGTGGCTGGGCCGTGGACACCAGGCGGCGAAGGGCCAAGAGGGCGGAACGGAGCCCCACCGAAAGAGAATCATCAGAGTGGGCTGCCGTGTCGGCCGCCCTGGCGTAGAGCGGCTTAATGGCTGCCCGTCCTGTGCAGCCGAAGACCGACTGGCTGAAGAACGTGAGCCGCCCGGCCAGCTTGGACGCCACGTCCGGCTTCATGGCGTTGTTCTCCAGGGCGTTGTCGATCTGCTGTAGGATCTTCTTGGTGCGGTCGGCGGTGGGGCGCAGCTCAACGCCCGACGGGGCCACCCGCACCGCGACGCCCTGGACCACATGTTCCTTGGCCGGCGGCTGAGCCTTGGAAGGTTTGGTCTGGAGGCCCAGAAGGGCGAAGAAGTCGGCCAGGGCGAAGTGGGCGGAGTCGGCCGCCGACTTGTCCTCCACGCCGTTAAAGTCGTCGACGAAGTGGCCGCACAGGACCAAGAGCAACGCCCTGGCCAGCATCTGGACGGCGTCCGCCGCCCTGTTAAAGTTCCAGACACTCGCCGCCGCTCCGAAGCGGCGAAATGGAACCAGAGGGTGGTTCCGGCGGCTGTCGGGAGGAACGTCCCGCAATGACCCGGGAACTTCACCGCCCACTGGCGGTAGGCGTTCTGCAGGTCGTGCCCGAAGAGCACCGGGTCCCAGCCGGAAGCCATCGCCCGGCGTATGATGTCGACGACGTCCCCGAGGAAGTGGTGCGTGGCGACGTCGTGTGCCCGCATGGTGGCGTTGTGGCAAAGTCATCGCCTCGGCGGAGCTTGCCCCATAGACCGGGTTAGGCCGAAAGTTATCTTGACCAGAAGACCGGAGGATCTCCTGGATCACAGGAATTCAAGATATTTATCTTATCCTGTGATTTTGGATATGATATCCAAAATCCCAGCGTCAAGTTCTCCAAAATCACAGCGCAAAATTTTGGATCCCAGATCCAAAATCACAGTTTTATTTTCGACCTGTGATTTTGGATCTATATCCAAAATCACACTTCCCGAATTCCTGCGATTTTGGATCTAGGTCTGGCCCGGCAGGGGTCGAAACTTCGACCCCCAGGGGTCGAAACTTCGACCCCTCGGGGGTCGAAACTTCGACCCCTCTCTGGTGTATAGCAAGATATATATATGTATATATATTTGTCTTTCTTTCTGTCGGTCTTTCTGCCTCTCTGTCTCTTTGTTTTTTGGTCTCTGTCTGTCTGTCTGTCTGTCTGTCTGTCTGTCTGTCTGTCTCTCTCTCTCTCTCTCTCTCTCTCTCTATATATATATATATATATATATTATATTCGCGAAGCTTTTGATTTTCCAGCATGTGGTGAATTTTGTTGGGGGATAGCGAAGTTTTGTTTTCCGAGACGACCGACCCGGTTTTTGGGTCCTGAGATGCCTTTGCTATACATGCTGGCTCTATATTTGGCACACACCAGCATATACCTTGAGAGTTGGGTGTGAACGAAACCAACAATTGACACCGTGTGTGTGTGTGTGTGTGTGTGTCTGTGTGTGTGTGTGCGGGTCTATGATGCGGGACAAAAGCATGTGGTATGGAACCAGGTGTGGTCGCATGCAGAATATATAAGTCTATGAGTGAGATTTTCGGCACTAGGAATATATGTAGGTTTTAAAAAGTAATGCAGCTTGAACACTTTTTAGAGAGTATAGAGCAGGTTGAGAACATATGTAAACAGCTTCAGCAAACACAACGGGCCCCGACAGTTATATATTTCATAGAGTAGAGAGAAACCTTATATAAGAGAGCCATATGCAATATACTGACCATGAGGGTGTTTAGTGTTGAACAGAGGGTATATATACCCTCGAGCATTGCATGTTTAGGAGCAGTTGGAGGGAATATGTAGATGACCTTGAGAGGTGTGTTATAATTTTGAGAGTATACCCCACCTTGAGAGTTTAGTGTTGTACAACAAGGGTATGTGAGACTTTTGCATGTTTAGGAGCAGTTGTGGAGGGAATATATGTAGATGTGACCTTGTGAGAGGTGTGTCAGACCTTGTGAGAGGATATATTACACCATGAGAGTTTTTGCTGTTGACAAAGGGTATTTACCTTGAGAGATTGAATTTGCACGTGTCTGAGCAGTTGGAGGGAATATGTAGATGACCTTGAGAGAGGTGTGAGACTTTGACAGCACATATATCTTACACCTTGAGAGTTTAGTGTGTTGTGCAGAGAGTTTTTACTTTGAAAGTTCAGTGTTGCACAGAGAGTGTTTACCTCGAGGGCTAGGAGCAGTTGTGTCTGCGGGGACACAATCTGTAAACGACCTTGAGAGGTCTGAATCCTGTGTTTCACATGTTGCCGGCAGGACTCGGGCTTTCTGTGCT